GACATATGCTGAGTAAGATCCTATTACTGACAAGGAATTACATTATCTTGTGAAGAGACATATGACACATAAGCAACAACAAAATATATTAACTCTATATATTAGAGTTAATATATAGAGTTATTATATATACTCTGTGTAAAGGCAGTTATATTTGGAAATTATGTGCTGTAAGGATGGTGGCATTATTTTTAACAATGATAGGGGAAAAAAAGAAGAATACTGTCACAGCACAGGACCCAGAATGAACCACAACTCTGTATTTCTTCAGCAGAAAAATGCCACTTTGGAGAAGGGAGACCTTTAATAGTGAGACTGTGACATGATTCTAGGCAAAGTCTTGAGAACCTAAGTAATTATTTTAATTTATGTACTAAAATGTCTAAAAATCACATGCTTCATCTTAAATGAGGACCTTTAAGCCCTCATTTTCCCTAGACCTTTGCCCCTCTTATTTTTTTAACATTCAGATAGAAACCAAAAATGGCCAATATGAGTATTTTAAGCTGTCATTAACACATTGTCCCAGTATGTGCTTAACTGCAGAACAAAGCATCTCCAGAGCTGCTTAAGCAGTGTGTGTTGTGTCTGTTAAGCAGTGGTAGATTTGAACTGTTTCCTTCTGTCAGAAGGTAGGTGCAACAAGTTCGTTTTGAGTGGAGAATGTTTTGATTTTTAGACATTTAAATGAAAGTCCTGCATTTCTGCCCACCTTCTAGGAGAGCTGTAATCTTGTCAATAGATATATGAATCACTTGATGATACAGAAGTGTTCATTGTAGAAATACTTAGAATAAAATATCTGCAGGTTGTTGAATGTTACACACTTCCTCCTGTTGTAGTAAGTAATTCCTGGGGCAGTAGAAGTAACCTGTTTTAGGGTTCTAGACATACATTCTGGCTGTTTAGGCATATTTTAGGTAAAATATAAAAAATGTATCTTATTATAGGACAGGCAAATTGAATAAAGAATTGAATAATATATTTAAATGTTTCAAATCCAATGGAAAGGGACCTCCTGACTCAAGTGCTGCTTAAAATAAACTTTCATTTTAAAGAATTGCAATATGTCATGTTCCTTACATCCTTCTTATTTTTCTGCGTATTTAAATTTTAAAATTGAAACTTCTTTATTCTGAAGGTCTTAAAAAAGGGGGGAAAAGTTACTTAAGGGGTTTACCATCTAAATTCTTTTTTTTTTTGTTTGTATTTCTAGAAGCTTTGTCCTTAAAAAGCAGATAACATTCATGTCACCATTTTCTTAATTCATTATCTTGTATCAGTACATATCTTTTTTCTACCAAGCTATTCAGCTATTCCACAAAAGTGTTTAATCAATTCTTCTGTAAAACACGCAGGAATGTTTATGCACATTTTCAGAAGGCAGTAATTTTCAAACATATATAATTAAATTGAACAGCTGCAGCTCTTGTATCTTTAGTTTGTGTGAAAAAGGACAAACTATTACGTTGTATTTGTCCATCTCTGCATTCTCTGATTCATGGAGCAGCCTTTCAGCAATATTAAAGTAATATTTGAGCTCCATCAAGCTGAGGTGAAGGGGCCTTGAGGGACCTGTCAGTCACTGAACTGCTACAAAGAGCAAAATACTTTAATCTGCACCCTCTGTACAGTCTGCACAATCTTTACACTCAGCCTTCAGGAAACTGACTGGGAACCACTGTAGAAAACCCAACACCTGTTTTGGGTTTTTTGTTTGGTTTTTTGTTTGTTTTTTTTTTTTTTTAGGGTTTTGTTTTGGGGTTGGGGAGGGTTGGGTGGTATTTTGTTTGTTTGCTTGTTTGTTTGTTTGTTTTGGGGGGTTGCTGGGGGTTTTTTTTGTTGTTTTTTGGTGGGTTTTTTTGGTTGTTGTTGTTGTGTTGTTTTTTGTTGTGGTTTTTTTTTTTCCTGATAGCAGCTAAACATAAGTTAAACCTGTAAGTAAAATCTTTTAGGGCTAGTTGCATGCAAAGAAGATCTGGGCAAATTCTTGCAAAATTCTTGATCCCTCTACCCATAGTGTGAATTACTTTTGACATGGATGTACTTATAGGAAGAAGGTTTGCCACTACTGACCTGAGAGAGCTAACAGCTTCTGAGAAGTGCTGGATATGGAAACACTCATGGCATTAAATTCCCTCAGGTTAATAGGGTGCTTGGCAGGTGAGTATGTCATGACTTTGTTCGTACAGGATTCTTGTAGGTTTTAAAATACTCTATTTTCTAGGAAGAATTACAGAAATGCATCTCGACTTGATGCTTCTTACTGCTTGAGTGAAAATACTTAATCCTTAGAAATGTTTTTCAAAAGTTTGCATTTCTCCTGACGGAAAATTTGGCTGAAATAATATATTTTTTTAAAATACTGGAAAGTTAATCTGATATGGGTAATATTTTGGGCTTCAAGTTTGTTTGGGTCAGCATGATGCAAGATCCAAGTGATAAGTGTGCTGCCATAGCTCTTACTGGAAGACCACACCTGTTGCATTGCACTAAATAGTTTAGTTATCTTTTTGCACTGGGTGGTTTTGTTATTTTATGTTGTATGATGTGTTTATGTTCCATGTGCCCCCCAATGTCCTGTGGTGGTGTTTTCTGTTTTCCCCCAGGTCAGATCCTCCCTCCACCCCTCCCATCAGTTGTATCCCATCAGTTGTATTGGCTGTAGCTCCTCTCCTCCGCCCCCCTCCTCCCGGGTTTAAAATCTCCTGACATTAGACACCCAACCTCTTTCTCCTCCTGGATGCTCCCTTTTCTCATGGACAAAAAAGCTTGTGGGACGTTCATCCTAAGAAGGAAGAGCTTTTCTTTGCTTTTGTACTTGTCGGTGAAGCCAGGGTTCAGAGCTGGCCAAACGGGACCCCATGAGGCATTCGATCCGACACACACCCCTTTCCTTCCCCCTGCCAGCACGATGACCTAGAGGAAGTTCAAGCAATATTGAGAAATCAAAGGCAGCAAACTGAGCTTTACTGCCTGTGCATCAGGTGTCTCTGGTCTCTTCAGAGGCTACTGTGCAGTACCAACATGAAGAGCAGCAGCACAGTTGTATTTGGGTAGATTTCTTCCCAGAAGAATCTGTGCATCCATTTACAAATATGAAAGAGGGTGAACACAGCAGAGAAATTGTCTCATTTTCATTTTTTACTAACCATGTTCGAACATAGAATTGGATTAAACTAGAACGTGATCTCTTTATAATTTTCAGGATATTTTCACGTCTTTTTGCTTGCAGCTTAGCAAATGTTTTAAGGTGAGATCAGAAAAATCCTTTAGAAAAGTGTATGCAAATCACACATGAATTAAGATTATTGAATGAGCATTTAATTTAGGGTCACTTAACCAGAGTTAGTGACAGCTCACCAGAAAGTGCTCAATAGCCCTTCTCTGTTGCTCACTTGCAGGATGTCCAGTTTTTCAGACAAAAGCTTGGAATTCCATGTTGGTCACAATTTTAAGGCCTCTATTCATATTGTTCCACATTTTCTGCACCAAGACAGCATCAGTATGAATTTTTTCTGCTTCGAGTCTGCAGTCTGCAGTTAACATCCTAGAAAAACATCTGTGATGAGCCAAAACAAAGTTTTTAAAAGACAGCAGCTGTAGCCCAGCTGACGTGCTGCAGCAGAAGTCACCTTGTTGAAACACAGTCTTCATTTCAATCACAAGAGATTATTTTGTTTAGTGAACACGATACATATAATGAACCACCTCTTGCAGACTGAATCTTGGAAGGTGACATATGGAGTTTAGTCTGGAAGCTTGTCTGTGAGGCTTTGGGTGCTTTTCCTGCTTCCACCCTGTTGCTGGTACTCCAAATTACAATAACATTTCTGATTTTTCTCATAATTGCATAATATGTGTAATTCTCATGTATTCATATTTTATAGAGATACTGCTTTCATGCTTAAATCACAGTGCCTGAACTAGCAGTACCCAAATGTTTATGCAGTTTCATAACAGAAGTTGTGGAAGGGAGTTTAAGGTCTGTATCTGTCACAGTGAGACACACTGATCTGATTATTGGTAGGAATACATTTTTGGAAGTCGTCTGATACCATAGCTTTGCCATACTGTAAGTACAAATCCATTATTCTCTGACCAGGTCTCTTGTTAACACTTTAGAGCTAATATAATGTTTGGGAAAACAGTATCTTGAACGTGATGTGAAAAGGGGGGAAAATTTGGGGTTCGAGTAAAATTTAAGAATGAAGGTGAAATCCAAGTTAAAAATAAGAAAATGTATGGCAGGAAAATATTTCATTTCCTTCAGAAATTTTTTTATATTTCATTAGATGTCATAAATCCTCCTTAGTTTTACTAGCAAATTGAAAATTATTGCTTCTTCTGCTCCACTCTTGCTCATGAACATTTTGTCTTCCATGCATGCCCATTCTTCTTTTTACATCTCCATCTCTCCCTCTTTCTTTCACTCCTTTCTCATGTAGTGCTACCTCTCTCACTCTGTTTCTCACTTTCTCTCATACCCTCTGTATCCAGCCACTTCTCTTCATGCTTTGCCTCTCTTCCCACCCCCAGAGCCACTTCCTTTTCTCTCTAATTCACCCGAAAGTAAAGAAATGGAAAAGTCACCTAGTTAAGTTGTTTACCCTAATTTAAGGAAAACAGCATTTACAAAATAAACAGTTTGGATTTAGATTCCATTTTTGTCAGAACAAATAACTCTGCTTCTGTGGGATAATTGTAAACAAGACAATATTTAGATAATAGTGTGAGGTGCAAGAAACAAAGTCAAACTCCATATTCTTCTAAAAATTGCATGTCGTTGGCAACAATTCTTATGCAGATAATGCCATGAATGGAAAAAAAATATTCTGCCAATATTTAGAGAAGATTATTTTCTTGTTGATAAGCTTTTTGTTTAACTAGTTAAAGAAGTTATAACTGACTCTGGTTTAGTTAGATATGTAGGTGATGTCATTCAAGAGTCTGTGATTGTGTATGTATTTTTTTTATTTCTTAATTTTTTAAATTTCATATTTGTTTGTGTAAAATTCTTGTGATTATTTCCCTTAAAATTCTATCTCCTTAGCTTAATTTTTCTTTCTGTGTTAACGTATTCTAATTTTTGTATGTCTGTTTTTTCTTTAAATAAAAATATTATTAGGAGCTGTGGTTAGAGGTGTGAATGAGAGTATTCAGGATTTTTTTCTTAAGAGTACATAAAAAATTTAAATCATTCTTCAATCCAGTTTTACTCCACAGCTACAGCAATAAAGAAGTAATAGGAACGTAAGTAAGTCTTGAAAAGTAATTTCTACCAGATTATGTTATTTTTAAATACTTGTTGTGTCTGAAATATAAAGAAATTGTAATTCTCTTTTGCTTGTTTATAACTAGTTTAGCTTTGCACCCAAGTATATTGCTTTCTCAGCTGAGTACTAAGATGAAGTTGTTCTGTAGGAACATCAGGTAATCTTGATGTTTGCTCCTACATCTTCGCTTTAGCTGATTTTTACAGATTTGTCTTGAGCTCATTTAACTTCTGCTGAGGAATTCTAATGAAAAATGGGATCCAAGAAACAAGATGAAGTACAATAAAAGGGAACAAGCTATTTGAGAAGAAAAGAGGTCCTATATCTCACTGCTAGGCAATCCAAAGGAAAAGTGGCTATTTGGCATCAGTGACAAATGTGTGCTGCTGTCCAAGACTGAACATGTTTGTTTATAGTGTCAGAAGAAACTGAGTTTCTAGGAGGCCAAGGATGGTAAAAGAAACACAGCAGGGGTCATGTGGGAACCCAGGACATCCCTCTGGCTGCCCTGGCTGTCTCGAGACCCTGGCAGGGGGTTTGGTGACCTTGGCAAGAAGTCAAAAACACCTGTGGCTTCAATTTTAGCCCATGGAAAAAGCTGCCAACTTTGTATGAGGAATTACAAGTCACAAGGGTTTGAGTAGTGTGATAGTTGACTTAACACAAGGTGAAAAAGTAGAAGTTTGGGGCTTTTTAGAATGGGGATCAAGGGGACAAGATGGAGAAATTTGGGCATGTCCTGTCCTTCTTCTACTTCTTCTTGTTCCCCATGTCTTGGTGTGATGGTGACACTTTTCTGTTGGTTTAAGGTAGAGACTGTCTAACATAGGTGATAGGTATTGGCAATATAGAACATGTAGTTTTTAATATAAAATGTAAACACCACTGTGGGAGGGGGTGTGGTTGATGGCCTCCCTGCTCTGCCCTGGGAGGCGACAGATGTGTAGTTTCCCACCTTTCCCCAGTTGTCAGTTATTTGTTATCCCTTCCCCCTGTTCCCGTCAATCATTATGTACTCCTTCCCCAGTTCTAGAAAGTTCTAAGCTCTTTGTATCCCCATTGGTTCTCCCCCCAAAACCACTCCTTCCCTCTATCCCAGTTGGCCGTTGCCGTGTCACTCTTCACTGACTCCTCCCTCAAGCCCTCACCTGATTGGAAGTTCTGTACCCTGACCCTCCTTCCTGGTTACTGTTATAACCCCTGCCCCGCCCCTGGTTCGGGGCTCTCAGAGCTGGCTGTCCTTCTGAGCGGCTGCTTCCCTTTGCTGCCCACCTCACCTTCCCTGCTTGAAGCCCTCAGGAATAAAGCCTCTTGAGAGTCACCCGCCTTGGTGGAAGCCTCTTATTTCTACAGCTATCCGGCACCTGAGGACCTGACCCTGTGGCAAGCCAGAGTGGTCGCAGGACCCCAGGGCCTCACACCACCCTAGAGGGCAGACAGAATGCCATGGATGACTTGTTAGACGGAGCTCAGCAGGTCAGAGAAAGAATGGTATAGCTAAGGAAAAATAAACAACTTTGAGAAGCCGATCCTGCGCATTCCAAACTCCTTTGGCTGCACGGACTGGGAAACAAGGACTTTTACATTCTTGGGGTCAAACTTGACACAGACCCCAAGAGGGTCATGCCACACAATAACAACAGAATTAATTCTTCACTTCCCTTCAGACTTTGTGTGAATTTTATGTATGCATAAGCCAAAACAGATGGAAGGGGAAAGAACATTTCTTCAGATGAATGACAGCTTTGCAAACTCTGCACATGAGAAAGGAAATACATTCACTTTCACAAGGCTAAAAACCTTTCTAAACACTATCTCTGAAGCCTCCAAAGCCTTTTCACCCATCTGCAGCAAACCAGAAAGAAGTCGTTATCACCTTGGCCTCACCTTGTGCCAAAAGAAAGATTTTTTTTTAATTACATAACCTTTACCGAATTATGTATAACTCTTACTTCTTCACAAACTCTTGCATTTTATTCACACATGGATAAGCAGCAAATATTTCCAGAAAACAGATAGTACAAATGAAAACTTAAACACAGTAGCATTTACTTATCACTCCAAAAATCCTTCTGTTTTCAGTGACCAGATATTATAGTCATTCTTTGTCAGCTCAGCTTTTGGTTGTACATACCTGAATTTAGGACTGTAATAAATACTTGTACAGGGACCTGAACCAAAAATGTTAAGTTTTAAAGTAAGACTGTTCCATTTCTCCAAACTTAAAGGCCCTCAAAACCTAGAAATAAAACAATTTAAAAGATGGAATGTGATAAGAAGGAATGGCTTTCTAGACTGCAGTGATGATATTCTACAATCCTCCCTCTTGCCTCAGAGCTTAGCTTTGATTATGGAGGGAATGAATAGATCCCAAAAGAGTTTAGCTGGACTAGAATAAAATCTAACTTGACAGGTCTCTGGAGCATTGCTATCCCAAGGAAAAAAGGTGAATTCTGGGAACTGTAAGGTGACCGTTCTCTGTAAGTGCAGACTGATTATTTCTCTATGATTAATGGCAAATAATGATGGGACTAAGTGGGGTCTGTGTGCTTTGATGGCTGACTCTTTCTTAATTTGTTTTATCTGACAGATCAAACTACGTATCTGGGGTCTGCTTTTTCTCCTGCCCATCTACAGGGACTCATGGCATTTCCTGACAGTACATGCAGGACAGCAAAGATTTTTAATGTTCTATAACCTCAGGATTGTGACATACTAGAGAACTGTTGACTTCCTGCTGATGCTAGTCTGTTTCAGATCAAGTTTTCTACAACACAGAGCATTTTTTTCAATATTTTTCTATTTTTACGCCAGAGGTTCTACATTTTGCTATTTCCAACTGACATGGAATCAGTTTCTTGCTCTACTGACTGTGAATGTGCTGTTGCACATACTGTGTTTCATAGGTTTAGAACATACACATACACAGATAAATAGAAACACATATATAACACTAATATTTTGAAGATAAATATGTACATATTAAATATTTATACACAAAACCTAGTGAAATACATATATATTCCTCACAGAATTTTTTAGTTACTTATAAATCAGTGAAAATTCTTTATTTTGTCTTATATGTTGACATGTTCTCAGATAATTAGTTATCTGAGAACAGATATTATTTTTTCCTTTTAAGCTTTATCTTCCTTTCATCATCAAGGGTATAGAATCCCATTATGTGCAGACTGAGGTGAAAAAGGAAGTCTTTTATTATACTGTCTGTTAGTCGATACTTCATTAGGGGTATATTGTCTACAGCACCGTTAATCATTACTAAGGCAGTTGTTTTAACTTTGGCAGGTGTGCCCCTTTGTTAGCTAAATGCCTACTTCTCTATACATTTTTATTCAAAACAGAGGAGTCAGGGTACTCAGCCTGGGTATATTACCAAAGCTCTGTGAGATTTCCTGGAAAAAGGGCTGGTTTACCCCAGCTGAGTCAAAATCTCCATATGTGCTTTCCCACAGACAGACTTCACCTCATTTCGCTTCTTTGTTGTTTGATTTCCTGCCAAGAGAAGAAAAAACATAACAAAAGGGAGAAGTCAACAGTTTCAGATCAGACTGCAAAAGAAGGTCCACATGATCATAGGAGAAATGAAAATCTTGCTCTTTCTTTCACTTCCTCCACCAGTGTTTACCTGAATGATGTGGAAACACCAGGGTGAGGGAGGAGAGGTTTCATATGATGCAAGAGTTTGCATTTGGAAGTTCCATCTGATATTAAAAACACACCTTATCTGAGAGTGATATTATGTATTTATGAAAGTTGTTCTTATTTAACTTGAGAAAACTTTAAAAATGTGCTGAGCTGTAGCAGTAGAAGTATAATTTCCAATAGGGTTCATATCATCACTTGCACAGATGCCTGAAAATTTGCCTGCTTCATAAGATTGATCTTTAAATCTAAATTTAAAACTGATTTAACAAATTGGGCTAATTGAGAATTCTTCAGCATATTTGAAAGTAGTATAGTATTTGATGTTGCTTGATTTTACTTCCTAAACATAGAAGGCAAAAATGAAGCATAGATGACCTTACTTTGAAAAAAAGCCTAAATGTTAATCAAATCAGTAGCAGAAGGTTCAGCACAGTAATTCTGTCTTTCTTCCTAAATAAAAATATATATTTTATGCTGACTTATCAGAATGAAGAAAAATTCCTACAGTTTATGCTCTAGTCTTGAAGTCTTGACAGAGGTAAAATGCACATTTTGCACTCAGAAATATTGACTAAAACTATGAAAGTAAACTGTTATTTGTAAAAAAATTCTATAGAAGAATTATAGCAACTAGTTAAATAAAAATCTTCTAAAAATATCCCATTTTCATTTTCACATATTCAGTTTTGCAAAATAAACTCTAACTATTCCATAAAAATGAATAATTGAATATTTGATATTTGAATAACATAACTTTGCAAGTTTTGTTACAATAACAATGCCAACATACAGCAGCAGGGCTTTCTCTAGGTAAAATTAAATCAGCCAACTGTTTCTTAATTTATTACTTAACAGATAACTAAGGAATAGAAATTCACAAGTAAGACATATATTCCCAAGTATTAGTTTTATTTGATCAAATAAAGAAAATTACTTCTGCCTCCTCAAAATAAACCAGAAAGGTTAGGATTGCTTTTCAATTTGTTTGGGTAATGGAAATGTAAAGAAACTGTAAAGAAAGTTAATTGTGGCTGTGGAGAAAATATTAGTTGTTTCTTCAGTGAAAAAATAAAAACAAAGAAACAAAATTAGGCAGGTTCAGGATTACAAAGAGGAATGGGATAATGACTTTAATGCTTTGCCTGTGGTGACATCTCCTTTCCAGGTGTTGCTCATAGTATCATTGAAGTAATTTTTACTGATAGAAACAAGAGATAATCAGAATAAACAGTAGAAATAAGAGATCATTTAGTTGTGCAATATATGATTTAAGATCCAGAGCAACGAACTGAGCATATATTTTGTTTTGAAGAATTCTCTGGAAGTATACAAGGGTAGAAAATGGAAACCTGTTAAATTAGGTATTCATAATTACCAAAAATGCTTGTCTTCCTTCAGCATCTACATCATAATGGAAGCCTTTACTCTCCTTACAGTCTAAAAAGGAGAAAAATGTGAGAAATTCTCCTTGTACCAAAGTCCAAAGCCAAAGGATAACCACAGCTGAAGACTCTAACTAAAAGTGGTGCTACGTGGCATGCAAAAGAACAGGTTGAAATCCCTCCTAATTGCAGCAGCAGGGAGCAGTTGGTCCTCCCTTGCTGCTTTGGGGTAGAGCGTTTCAGAATCATGCTATTTTTTTTTTGTTCTTCTTTGAACACCATACTAACTCTGACAAAGACTAACACAGCCATAATCTGTGCTTGCTCAATGTGAAATTACTTTACCACATCAAGTAACAGTGATTGCAAGTCATTCCATGTCAAAAAGGAAAATTTAGGCAGCACAAGAGTTAGTTGTACCTGTGGCTTGGGAAACAGCAGCCTAAAATCATGCATTTGTAGCCTCATGTTAATGTCAAGCTCTGTCCTTCTGTTTCAGAAGGGTCATACTAACTCAGATAACATAACTACCTGTAATTTTCCAGGATTTGAATTAGTTGACTCATTCCAATTTGTTATTAATATATTGATATATTGATTTGATTTCAAGATTAAAAGACAGCATTTTTTCATTTTAATTATATTGGTTGGTTCATTAGAATTTCAAGCTGTATGCACAGAAATATATACTCAATTTTTTGTAGAACAACAACAAAAATACATATCTATCTTTATTACTATATGTAACAAAGACTGTAACAAATATTTACAACTATTAGGTGATTTTTTTCCTTTCTAAGACCTGGATGCCATATGTACATTGAAAAGCTGATCTGGATTCCAAATGTACATTGTTGTCTTTCTCAATTAACTGCAATATTCCTATATAATAGCTTGCTTTCTCTTTTTAAGTTGCACTTTGGTTGTATAAGTTACTTATAAAGTGTGCTTTGTGTTTTTATATATTCTAAATAGCTTCCAGATGAATTTATCAGCTAAAAGCTTATGAAAAATTGAAGGCTTGAAAGTTATCTATCATATTCTGTAGGTAAGCTTGACAATTCAGATAACAGTGGAATTAAACTCAGTCTTTAGTTCTGAAATGAAACTTTTTTATTTTTATCTTAAACATATTCATAGCATTCAAGACACAGAAATGTATAGACTCTAGAAGGCATAAAGTGAATCTCCTGAGAAAAATGTGAACTTCCAGTAAATGTGGGTTTAGTGTACACTGTTGTCAATAAAATAAGCTTAAGACATAAGATGAGAAATTTAGATAAATAAAAGAAGTTGCTTATTTTTAATGTCTTCATTATGTAAATGAAGGTTTCTGAGTTGAAACCTCAAGGATCTCAAAGCTTAAGTCTGTTTAAAAAATTATGTGTAGCTTAAATTCCTTCTGGGTCCCTCAGTATAATGTTTCCTATTTGGCAGTCTGGCCCTTTCAGAGGACCTTCTACCAACTTGAAATTCTTTAACCAGATGATTTAAGTCATCTGCAGCTAAGCCATTGTGGTCATGAGTGTAAGAAATGACAGAAGGACAGTTGTATGAGGAAAGTGATACTTGTGATACTCCCCAAATCAGTATGATTTAATAAGTGCACATACTTAGAAATTTACCAGATGTGTGTGTTGAAGTGCAAAAGTAATGTCTTCACGACATTATATTGAGGTCCCTATAATAGCAATAACAAGGGAAGAAGCACTAGATATGGAAAATGCCCAAGAATATAAAATATATAAAATTTACCTTCTTAGGTAGTAGTTATATAACCATAAAACTCAGTCTTTAAATGTCTTTTTTGTGAGGTGAGAGAAGGAGACGGGGAGGGGGAGGGAAAGGGTGGCCTACAGTGCTTGCAAAATCCACAATAAACATTCCTAATATGAACAGTTTTATGCTGTATAAAATTATATAGCAGCAGACTGTAACAATAAGTGCTATGAGCATTTTGTTCTTGATTTTGAATTTATCTTTATGGATTTAATATTGAACAAATTGAGCAAAATTATAAAAACTCCTGAAATGCACTTCAGAGCTTGGTCTGCAACCCATAATGGGACAGTGAGACATTTTTCTTCATGAAAGAAAATAGAGTAGCATCTTAAAATTAAAAAAAAAAGTATCAGTCTTTCTTATACCTAAAAACTCTGCTGAATCTGGCAGGGCCAGTCTCTTTAAGTATTAGAACAAAATTAAACAAAGCCAAGCTATGAATTATTAGAAATGCCTTTCACCCTTACTTGCATTTCTGTTTTAAATTTGCATACCATGATTTGAGTGAGGACATTTAGTGAGTTTTATTGCTGCTGCATATGTATTACATCAGGGATAAAATTACACTACATGGATTAAACCAATAACACCCTTTATGAAACAGCAATCTGTTAGATGAGCTCAACAGCAATCTATTAGATTGTAATTTGCCCTTGCTATGCTCAGTCTTTAAGATATATTTCTTGGTTTCTTACGCTGCAGAGTCAGCTTTTCTGATCTCTTGCATGTAGGTTGTACAGAACTTCTGCCTCTTCTGGGAACACAGAGGGAATTCAGTGAAGGCACTAGAAATTGTTGCTTTGGTTTTGCAAAATATGGAGTTCAATCCATAAAATGGAGTTTATCAAACTGGCTGAGAGGGGCAACCGGTTAACCATCCTAGTTAACTCTGCAAAGAAAAGACACCTATTAACGCAAGGTGGGGAATAGAAGAAGTGGATTACAGAACAGTATTTGCTGTCTAAGAGTAACTCACAAGACCAACACAGTCTTCTCTCTCCCATTTTAGAGGAAAACATACATTTAACTTATCCTCTATAACTTATTAGACTTGTTGCATATTGTAAATTCTTTTCACTTATTTTGAAGGTTTTTTTCAACCTTTGACTTAATAGCATGTAAATGTTTGTGATACAGTAGGTTTCCTAGTTCACTTTTCCCAGCAAAGGGTTTACACTTAATTGATCCTTTTCCGTAAACTTATTCCTCTATTTTCCCACTCTTGTTTCTCTCAAATCATTAAAATCCATTCCCTTTCCTTTCCTGTGGTTCCTGCACTATATATCCCATAGGTAGACTTTTCCCAAAATGCTGTTGTGCATTCTGTAATATGTCCTGTTTCCCTTTGGCAGTGACCATGCAGTCTGAAAGGTGCTCTGGAATTGATTTTTCTTGAAGGGTTTCATGTCTGAACAATAAAGAATTTAATGCCTGGACAAAGCACCTGGGCCTCTCCTGAAACAGCTCTGGGAAAGACCAAAACAGGGAGGCCTTTCTGTGTTCTTGGGTTCCCATTTGTATTTGTTCCCCTGAACTCTTCTGGACTCAGGAAGATGATGTGTTAATGAGTCCTGTGATGGGCCTAGATATGGCAGTGCAGTGTGTTCTTGGTCTTCCACACCTGCTTTGTTTCTCCACGCTCCTCTGTTTGTGCAGGTGAAGTTATATCACATAACATTCTGACAATTAAAGCTGGAGGGAACCACACTGCTCTCCTTGAAAGGCATTTGAAGACATCTGTTTCACCTCGTGAGGCAGGATCTGCTCACAAAGAAGAGAATGCTGCTGCCAGGTATCTTCTCAGGTGACTTGTAAGTCTATGTGCTGAGTCCTATAGACCCACTCCAAGGAAGGGAACTGAGCATCAAAGATGCTGCAGGTTTCAAGGTAACTGTACTCAGCTAGAGAAAAGTGTACCACTTGCTTATACTGTAGGCTCCCTCAGGCTCCATTCCTACCTCACAATTCCAAAGTAGGCACTGCTGACCAGCTGTGTCTTGATAACAAAATCATAGAATTGGGAAGAGTTATGGCACTGTATGTCAAAGATAACAGAACACCAGTCTGGAAGCCATAGTCTCCTAGAATGAAGTCTGTAATCTCTATGCTTCTCATTATGCCTGCCTCCCTCCTTCATTCCTTTTTGTGGATGACAAACAGGTAGAATATCAAAAATCAGGAAAGAAAGGCGTTGAGAATTCCACATACATTGTTATGTATCTATACCTATCTATCTACACTAATATATGTATATATGGGAAATGAATTTTTCAGCTCAGAGAGGAAACCAAGAACTGTGAATGACTGAAAATACAGCTGGTACTTCTGGTATCAAAATAGAAAATGGTTCTCACACAATGAAACTCTGGAAGAAACTGAAAGACATTTCTCAGAAGCAGAACTAGACTGTTAGTTAATTCACTGTGATTTCTGCATCCTGTGTTTTGGGGGTTTTTACATGATAATAGCAAAAAACTGAAAGTGAGCAGAAGATTCTAAACAGAAGAAGTACCATTTTGGAAACAATGACAGTGTGGACACCAGCAAAATGCTTCATCTTGCTATTTGAGTTATAGTTTTTACTGAAGAGTTGTCGTTGTTGCTGTTTGCATTTCTCAATGCACAAAAAATGGGCCTTGCAGACAGCTCTATTCATCATAAGAATAATTAATTTAAATAAAAAAGTTAGCACATGTGCCCCTTGACTTTGACAATCTGTTCCATTTAAGCTAAAGAAATCAAAATGAAGACAATAACATAAAGGATTCATTCCTGGTAGTTCTGGTGGTTATTTCAATTACATTAAAATTTTCCAGATAAATGGGTCTAAAAAGCTTTCATCTAAGAGAAAGACAGTAAAAGAATAGATTTAATGAGCCTAGGCAGTCACAGTTAGTTTTAAGGACCTTTTCAAATAAAACTCACTTTGCTGTTAGTCCTCTGGTTTTAAAGCTGTATCTTTCAGACTGCAGTGATACAGTATAGTGATAACCAAAGAAGACTAAACCAATCTTAGGTCACATTTATATTATTTGCATCTAGCAAAAACTATGAAGATTAGAAGCACTCATTGGATAAATTGTTTTATAACTTATTCTGACCATAGTGGAGAAAAAGTGTTCTAAATGTTACAGTTTTCACTACTGTCACAGTAGCCAAGAGCCTAAAATTTGTAGACACAAAGTGGATTTCTTGGATGCCAGTGTATTTGATTGAATTTTGTATTTGACATTTTTGTCAAATGTGATTTCACTTTTGTCAAGTGATTTCACTTTTGAAGCAGACCAGGAAAGTTCGAAACATCAAGCTTAGGCACAGGGGGTTTTGTTAGTATATTCTTTGAATTAGAAAAATTAAAATCACACACATCATAGAAATAGAAAAGAAGATAATGTAGTTCATGGGACTTCATGGAGACTCTGATCAGTGCTCTTAACAAACACAAATACATCCAGCTTTAATCCTGTTTCATTCTACTTTAAGCCCTCAAAATATTTTTTTATTCAGAATGACAGTCTTGCCTGAAATGTTATTCATAAAACTACTGATTATACAGGGATGAAATTTAGTGTTTGCAACTAAAATAGCACAGAATTACTTTTAATTTTTATGGCTATTTTGTCCTTATTGTAATTATGTGAGTAAGTGTTACTGAAAACCTACTGTCAGAAATTCATATAGGAGACAAATGATGACGGAAGAAAAAAAATACCATGGAAAATTGATATAGACTTGCATTTCTACCAATGTTGTGAAGCTATCCTAAAGAAAGCCTAACATTCGCTTTGCCTCCTAATTTAATTCTGATAATTTCTGGTTTTTTTTTTTCTTCCTAGTGTAGAACAAGATTTGTGGAAGAAGGGACAGATGTCTCCTGGCTGCCTTTACCATAGGATTCATAGTAATGTTTGCTCTTGCAAGTTTGTTCATAGGCTCACATGGTAGACTATAATCAACTCCAAATGTGATTTTTGTATTGTAACATCCACATGGGTAACTGGGAAGTCAGAGGAATCTGACTCTTATCAGGCCAGTCACTGAAGTCTGTTGTTGCTCGCTTTCCACGCAGGCCCCGTTCCCCAGGCGCAGCCGCCCGTGGGTGGCTGGTGGTGAGCAGCGCACGCGGCTGCCCCGAGAGCACTAAAGGATCCGAGACAAAGAGACAAAAAGAGGACACCTGTATGCAGTTCAAAGAAAGTTGCATTGCACGAACCCCGCAGGGACAAGTGATGCCGGGCAGGTGTCTGGTCACAGTTTTTCTAGGGAGTGGAGGTGAAAAGGTGAAGCCAATAGGGACAGTGTCCAGCCTGAATACATTACGGGTCAAATCCAACGGGAATAACTCAGGGGAGGGGTGAAGGCTTGGGGGAATACAGAAAGAAAACTTTCTAACCTCAGATTCACAAAGCCTTTCACCTTTTGTGCAGCTGCGCACTACCATAGTCTGTTATTTCTTGGGCGAGTCTCCTCTGCATTAACAGGCAGAAATTGAAGTAGCAATGTTGCCTTGCTATCCAGTGAAACAAAAACATATTAATTATCAGAGAGTATATCCCACGGAGTAGAAATTTCATTGCATATCAGGATGGAAAAAACATGTGGGCTGTGATACTTCAGCAATTTTAGATGGGGGAAAGATCTTATATGCTTAATACCGTTGGGAATGATCAAAGTAAAGTTGTCAGCACCTAAGTCACTTTTGGCATCAAAATTTGAATGGCTAAGCAGTAATACGAAGCATTAAAGATATTGGATACCTTCTAGTAAGCCTAAGAACCTGGGAGACCCTTACATTATTTTATTTTAATGATCTTTACCTTTCAGGTTATGATATGCATTGTGGCTGTGCTTATGTGATAAAGGAAGTGACATTGGTTTAGATTTTGCCAGACTTCAAGAAAATACAGAATAATAACATGAAAAGGAATTAGAAAATAATTTTGGCAAGGGAGTTCTTTGGGAATTCACTAAAACCTTACTCTTGATCTCACTCACACTGAATAAATCTTAATAGCTTTGAAAGAAGTGATATTACATAGTATCAGTCACAGCCAGCACCGGTTTACAAGGAGAAAGTACTGTTGTACAAATTTTATTTTCTTTCATGACAAGATTCCTGATCTTATTGATCAGGAAACAGAAAGCAGTTGATGTAATCAACTAAGAGGCATCCCTAGGTTAGGGAGACACATGAAGCTTCTCTCAAAAAGCTGTTAAAAATCTGATCAAGGGAAAGCAGTTGATGTAATCATCTTTCTGAATTTCAGTAAAGACTTTGTTATTGTCTCTCACAGTATCAAACCAATTTTATTTGCATTCAAGAGCTAAAGATAACTAAGTGAGAAATACTGGTCTTGTGGTCAAAGCTCTTCCTATTTACCAGCTATTCAGATGAACAATACTGTGGTAAGAATTATTTTTTAAAACAGTTGTATATTGGAAACAAAATATCTTAGTTACTTCATAAGTTCTTATTAAAAAAAATAATTATTTGGAGAGAATACAAAACCATTATAAAAGATCATTAACTACAAATATAGAGGAACTAGTGAAGCTTTAAAACTGGTAATTAAAATAGCTGATGTGTGTCTAATGCATTTCCTCAGTGTCTTTTAGGACCACATCATGATAATGTATGCTGAACTTTTTCTTCTGTTTCATGAAAATTATTGCTAGAACTCGTATCTCAATATTCTGTCAAAATCCTTGTATGGTATTTGTACTTGGAGCATAAAAGCAATAGTATGTTGTCTACTGAAAAACCACTGTGTGAATGTACAATACCTGAGCCATCACATTTAGTGTTCTGCTTAATTAGAAGGCAATGCACAAAGCATTACCTGACATGAAGAAACTCTGACTCTAGCATATCATGTGTGTTTTAGAATCAGTATAATAAATAGCTCAGAGATGATGTAGAGATGACTCAGTGATCTGTGGGACTGGGGTATATTACACTTGCCAATACGGAATATGTATTTTGGAGGAGTGTGTTTTCCAAGGCATTCTTAGGGCTTTTTAGCTGCTTTCCCATACAATGAAAGAACACAGCTTTGTTGTATCCTGACTGCAATGGTCATGTCTACACACGCTTTTTGGTCATGTCTACACATGCTTTTTAGTTCCTCTAAATGTTGAAATTCATTGTAAATAAAGTGATCCCTTTTTCTTCATGGCCTTCTGCACAACAAGAGATGCAAACTGCTAAAAGCTTTTCCAAATGTTGTCCAGCTCTTTGATCCTTTCAATCTTCTTATCTGTTTGAACTTGGGAGTTCTTAGTAAAATTGTAGTGATGCAAGTGAAGTTTTGAGTGGCAGGCAGTTTCACTAGCTTTCACTTGCTTGATTCTCTGTCCCCTTACTTTCTTATTTTTCCTTTAACACAAGAATTACCACAGGTTCATAATGCTTGAAAATTTTACACCAGCCCAAGAGGTACAACAATTTATCAGCCACCACAGAATGGACTTCTCATTTTAAAACTCTTTGTATATAATTAATCTGTTCTACTTCTGTAAGGAAATCAAGGAGACGTTCAGCAATTTACCTGTGAACATAGAAAACAGAAGAATATAATGAGCATTATATTACCTGTCTCCTGGAGAGATTTAAGGTATGATAAGGTATAAAGCATAGAAATGCATGTTCCATGCCAGGACAGAGCTCCATGCCAGGACAGAGCTCCATGCCAGGACAGAGCTCAAAAGAATTTGCTGAGAGACATCTATGTGATCACATTTCCAGCTATTTAACCCATAGTAGAACTGCCACAGCTACCACAGAGAAAGATGCTCTTTCCATTAACTCCCTGCCAAAAGATTACTCAAGTGAAAGAGCAATACCACATATTTATAGACTATTTACTCCACACTTAATTGTAGGGCAAAGATACCTAATCAAGTTGCATTATTCTTATATCGAAAACTTAAATATAATTGGAAATGGAAATACCTATACCTGAAAATGGTACCACTACCCAGTGAGACAGCTTGTGAGCATAAAAGAGCTGGGCTGAGAGACTCCCAAAACAGCTTGATAATTGCCACTGTATGAATTTGTGAAGGTCTTGGATCAAACGCTAAGAAAGGATTAAATGTGATACCTTCTACTGTGATACCTTCAAGACAGATTTCTTGCTCAGACGTAAAATTCACTAAGTTGAGTTCAAGTAACTGAATTCCCCATGGAAATTTGAGAGATACAGACATTCATAAATGTGTTCACGGAAACCAGCACACCAACCACCAAAATCCTTAATACTGCTACCTGGAAATGCTGAAGAGATGGATGTGCTTAAATTCTCTTGTGAAAGAGACTTTGTCTCTTCTCTGTCTGTGTGCACGTGCAGGTGTATGCATGTATGCACATACTCCATAGGAGCCCGAGAGCCTACTGAAATATATGCCAAGTAGGTACCCTGCACCTCCAAAAAGGGAGAGGTATTTAGGAAAGAGTAATCATAGTATTAAAAGTATTTAATATTAAATCAGGTGAGAGAAGCAAGAAACTGTTGTGTCCTGCACGGCTATTACCATTAAAACAGAAGTAACCCTGAGAATAGGCCTTGTGTACTCTTTGTTCTTGAGAGGACTTCGGAAAGGCTGTGTTAGGACATTCAGAATATCAATCCTCCTTTATTTTGCAATCATCTTGTCTATTCCTCTCTTGTGTAAATCAAGAGTGATAATCTTTCTGTACTATAAAAGAAACAGTCTGATTTCATGTGCATCAATTTCAAGCCTAGCAGCATAAAACAAGAACTCAATTTTAAAATCCCAAAGCTTCCTCTCAGTTTCTATGGATTCTGCTTCCTTTGTATCTTCATACTGCAATCAAGGATTGGCAGTACTTATCTGAATTATAAATCAGACTTATTCAGTGTAGCCAGCTGTAACAGCTTATCTGTATTTCTGTAATTAAGAAACTTTATTATTTCTTTGTGGGTGCCAGCAGGTGCTCTGCTCACTGTTCTTTGCAAGAACAGAGAATGCAGACATGAAAAAAAATTTAATAAAATTTTCTTTAAAGAGGTATTTGTTAACTTTCTCTTCCTATTTTCCCTAGTCCTTCAAGCAGGATGACAGATTGTTTCTGCTGCTTTCATTTTGAATCCATCTATTTTTGATCTTTGTTTTTTCACTCATTTAGACATTTGCAGTTCAAAGACTCCAGTTTAATATGGGAAAACTCTGTTCTGGAGAGTATTCTTCTGTATTACTGTTTCGTTTCAAATTCATTAAACCGTAATATAACTTTCTTAATCACCTTTTAATTCCATTAACTAAGATATAGAGGTCATCAGTTTGGTTAGTTATTTAATTTCCACCTTGACTTTATTTCATCTCTTAAGTATTTAAATACTGTGTAATGACAATTTTCAATTTTTCTCTCAGCCTTACTAGTTAGATCAATGTGTGTGTGCATTAAAGAAAAAGAAGATCTCTGCCACATGCATTCCTGGGAAGAATTTCCCCAGCTGTTCGAATTATTTTTTTATGTCTTAGCTGCTTAATCATTCCATCAATTCCTTCTTCAAAAATAGATTCAATTCTGAAATTGTAATTCCCTTTCCTGAATTCTTAAGAGACCAAAATAAAGGAAAAGTGCCTACTGAAACACATACAAGGTGTGTTGAATTCCAGCTCCGCTCAATATTAAATCAATAAACTTTGCTGATAAGCCATTTTAGGTCAGCTGTGAATTGAATCAGGAATTTAAAAGACTATTGTATAATTAATTTAAATGCAATATAATTAAAGGGAAATATGTAAGCAATAGGAAATATAGCATCAAATGGCAACAGGTGCAGATGGGTTCTGAAATAAAGGAAGTTGCTAAGGTAAGGATTTCAGCTAAACCTCTATAGCTAGATATGGAGAAGAAGGAGTTTAGAGTATACAAGAAGAAACTTGTTATTTATCAAACAGAAAGGGAAGACTTAAAACAGAAGTAGATATTTCTCTTGTAAGTATTTATGAATGAGGATGATTTGATATCACAGTGATACGAAGTTCAGTTATTCCTAGGGACTGTGCTTTATTGTGAAAGGAATAAAAAATATTTGTTTAATTATTGGACTGGAGCAATTAGCACTTAAATTTTCTTAAAGAGAATTATAAAATCTCAAAAAAGAATGACAAGATTATGCCAACTATATAGAAACAAAACAAAACAACAACAAAAAACCCACACACACAGAAAAAAAGGGCACAAAACCACAAACAAACAAAAAACACTAAAGCAGATATGCTAAATAACAAAGGGCTAGAGAGATCCACACAAATAAGAATATCTTGCAATAAAAATTTAGTAAACAACTTGAAAGATAAAAATTTAATTCTTATATGGAAAATGCATCAATGCATCTTTTCAAATCAGAGTAATTTTATTCTTTGCTGGAACAACAATTTTAATGAAGATTGGCAAAGATATGTACTTGGATGTTGTAAGTTATTTAATAATGTAAACATACTGACTGAAAGTTACAAATATAATAAAACAAATAAAGCAAATGTTCTATAAAATCTACCTGATGGTTTGGTTTTGAGTTATATCTTAGCAGCTAAAGTACACACAAATAATAATTGTTCTGCTATCAACATTCATGAAAGCAAAATAAAGGAAGAATTTTACCCTGAGGGTGAAATTATGAGACTGTTTTTAAAAACACTGTCATGGTTTAGGAATGGAAGTCCCAAATGTAGCTGTTCCAACAAGACTCCAAACCTACTGCAAAAAATTAACTCTGTCATGGGCAGATCCAGGACAAAAGGTAATGGAAAACTGGATAGACCATGGAAGAGAAATTCAAAATAGATTTGAGAACTATGAAGCCACTACAATATAAATGTGATACCTTCTCTCCCCTCACAAGTTTCGTTGGAATTATTCTTTTCAGATAACTCCTCTTTCATCTACAGCCACAAAGGTTTGGTTAAACATGCCCTTACTAAGCTGAAAATCCTCCTTAGGCAAACTCCTTTCCATGCAACCTAATACTGATATTTACTTGAGTACATGCCTTGCTACTACAGAAAAAACATTTTTGCACATGTCATTGGAAAGATGAACTTTCAGAGAAGAGTCTGTAAGGAGTCAATGTATATATCTAGAATTGTAATATTAGAAATTTCCACCAATTTTTGTGACTGCAGTTATAAAATATAAAGAACTGTATGCAAGGAGAAAAGGTAGTGTTTGAGATGAAGAGAATCTTAAAAAGGTGTTTGAAGAACTCTGTACTCAGGGAACTTTATATGAATCCTTGACTAGGGCATACTTTTAGCACTTAATACAGCATAATTCAGATAGATGTTTCTATCCTTTTTCTAAATTTGAAGATAGTAAAGGAATGCTCAGTTGAGAACAAATGAGAAGAAAGAGCAATTTATCAAATGCTTTTATGTAATGTCCTCCCATCTGTAGTTACTTCAAGGTTCAGGGAGATTGATACATGCAACTTACTTGTTTTAGAGGAACAGAGATCAAGTATCATTTAGTTTTCCAATAAAATATATGAAATAGAAAGCAGCATTGTAAGATGCCTTACAATGTTTTCATAACTGAGTGGTTTCAAATATGAAATAAACAGACAGGTCATTTTCTCCTCAGCTTGAATATTTTTCAGAGCCAGAACTAAGACTGATACTTCTACAAGACTGAACTCAGAAACATTTCAGTTCAGGCAGTCAGCAGTTTTTCCAACATTGTTCTAAATATATGATCTTCTACTAATGTCTCATCAATGCAAGCTCCATTTGTCCCCAAAACCTTTCTCTGTATTTCTGCACTTTGATTCTTACATATGTCTGAAAGTTACTACTGCCAAATACATGTCAAAGTTATGTACCCTTAGGGAGAGATGAACAGTGTGTCCAGGCAGGGAATTCTGTCACTCTGCTTCACTCTGGTGAGACCCCACCTGGGGTACTGGAAGGCATCCCTGACCATGATGGGATGGCTGCAAGTAGGTCATCTTTAGCATCCCTTTCAATGCAGGCCATTCTATATATTCCTGAGGAAAAACCTTGTAAATAACAAACCCTGGGGGGGAAAAATTGAAATAATAATTAGTGATAACAAAAGGATGTAAATTTCTGCATAAGGCTTAAACAAGTCTTCTCTAAAAAGTAGAGTAGTTAAAACAATGGTAGATAAACATAAAGTCTATTACATTTTAGTGACAAGTGTAACTACAATATGATATTGGTTACAACAGTGTTAAGGTGGTTATATTTCTATTGATGTATTTTCTTTTATGTGCATTCTGTGGTTTCATCTTTCCAAAAACAAAGAAAGAGTTGTAAACTAAAAAAAAAGTATTTTTTATATTCATGGGTCAGTTGCACAGTGCTTGCTGCACCCTAATTTATACTATTTGAGGAAGCAATGCAGAATTTCATAATTTGTCAGTGATTTCCAACAGGTTCAGCCATGTCCAAGCATTTCTACTTGCAGTCATAGAGTCACTTTTACCTCTAGCATTCTTGCTCTGAATGTTAATGTTAACCAGCAGGCTTGTCTTAAAATCACCTTTTAGTGCTGTAGCCTGCCTCTATATCAGTTGCTCGATTAGAGATATATGAAAACTGCAGAATTATAAATGCCATAATTAACACAGTTTATGGTTTTACTGTTCTTAGATCCTGATATATTTTATTAAAAGCAAAGGCTGGGTTTTTTTATGATTTGCAGGTTTGCATAAAGTAAGTTTTGCACTTCCACTTCCTCATTTTAGAAAGAGTTGGCCATAAAAAGCAAAAAAAATTAAAAAGTATGTAAAACCAACAGGTGGGAAATAGGTAGTGGCTCTGAGAAGACTTTAAGATGCTGTATATTTCTCTGTAATTAAGTTTCCCTCTCTAGATATTTCCCAATGGTGTCTCAACAATCTTTACCCCGATACTGCCAATTTTTGCACATTCCATCTCTTTTTGACATCAGCAAGTTGTATTTCCTGACTTTTTTAGTTTCTGTGTTGACACACATCATTCTACCACAATTAAGTTACAAATGTCCTTTGTAGAAAAGAAAAAGCATAATTCCTTTGTCCCAGTTTTGGAGACAGGATGTGACAAGAACACACAGACGATCATGCAGCAACAGCCAGGGTTTATTGTTGGGCACCCCTTTTTATAGGGGCCTCAAACTTACCATGCTTACAAACATGTCTGGATAAGGGTCTTTACTCCACCTAGCTCACTGGCCAAAAAACATCTGAAATATGGAATATGGCCTAAATCTTGCAAATGTGTGAGGAAAACAGTACAATGAAAGTTTATTTATTAATTTTTTTTTCCATCCTGCAGTAAACAAGAAAAATCCTGTGGAAAGAAAAAGGAGATACAGTCACTAATAATATAATGATGTGTGTAGAGAATTAAAATAAATTGCTGAGAAAATCTGTACTTTCTCAAAAATTTAAGCACTTGATCTTTTGTTGTAAATTCACTATTCTAACTGCTTGATAGGCAATGAGAACATACACAAGCCATGAAAGAACCTAACAAGGGTCAGAGAACTTCTGTTTGAAATACTGCCATTATAAATATCAACAATCAATTCTCCACTAAGTGATCAAATATATTATTGTAAAAAGTTTATATTTAAAATTTAAGATTTAAAATAGCAAGTGTGTAAAACGAGACCATTGATATTCTTAGTAAGTGAAAGCCAGCAGAAAAACTCCCAAACTTCTGATCATGAAGACTAAAAACACTACCTTATGGCAACAGTAAGGATTACTTGAAACAGACACTAAGGAATTAATGTAAGAATTCATGTCTCTGTCTTAAACAGAGACTCATAGCAAACAAGAACCTTCAAGCAAATTCATTTCTTTTTGACAATTTTAAAACATTATCTTGTAAAAACCGAATTTTTACTTCAGTATAAAGCAAAGAATAATGTTTAACATATGTAACTAAAATTTTTGATACTGCATACTACCATTAAATATGTAACAAATTTTAAGTTGAGTAAGTGTTCCTCTTTTTCATACACTGAAGCATCTAGCCTTCTGAATGTTTGTGGAGCAACACACCTAGTCAAAGTGGTTAGCAAGTTCTTCATGTGTTGGAAATTTTTATTTAAGTACACCTACTTCAGATTAAGCCAGAACTCTATGATCTGTCAAGACTCACTTAGTACTACTAAGTACATAATTCTTTGACATGAACAGGGTATTGTGTCTGCCTGCACACTTTCAACAGGGAATGGCTTTGCAGTGGCCTAGTCTAGTTACCTGATTCTTCCAGACAAACTGGAATTCCATTACTACAACTTAAATGCTTCAAGCTAAACAGAGACATTAGACATCTAGTTTAATCCAGCTGACCCCTGTGGTAATTAGGCACATAAATAAGTGTTTTGGTAACTTTATTTCTTTATATAAGCATCAATATTATTGCTTAGTGAGAACATTGCAAGGCAAAGCTGTGAGTAGGGCAGCTATTCTGGAGGTAAATATTTAACTTTGTAAGTAAACTTTATCTCCTTTTAGTACACTGTGTTGTCAATGTAGAAGAATCTATCTCCATTAGAGCTCCTTAAAAGAGAATACTTTGTAATGACATATAACCATCATGTCTAGACTGCTCCTTCACATCAAATCTAGCTTTTAAATGAAAATGTTATTATCTGCCACCTGCCTGTGATGATATCTACGTAAAATAAGTTAACACAGATGCATTCACCTTATAAAAAGTAATCTGTCATAAACATGGGCCAATGAGCAGCACATGCCTGAATGACGATGTATAAGTCAAACAGACATTATTTTCAAGGGTTTATTTAGGCTACACATTTCAACAGTATGCACAAAACATTCCTACATCAAAAAACACCGCTATATCTTCACTTACACCTACACTAATAAACCATAGAGGGACCACTAAATCAAGATTTAAAGAGGTGTGAAGAAGGCATGATTTAAGGTAAAATTTACAGGTTTTGCTTTAAGTTTGGCAAGCCCTTTCTGGGTCTCTTTTCACTACCAACTCATCAGCTACTCTCTCATCAACCTTGGCTTTTTAAGGTCTACCTCTCATTTACCTTCAACACCAACACACATCTCACTGAGGCAGTATGCTGCTATGACTGACAAGGTGGAGGTAGATAAGGTAGAACTTTTATCAAGCAGGATTTCAAGAGACATCTAGTAAAGCACGGGAGAGGCAGCCACTCAATCTGCAGCAAAAAAATGGGCAGAAAAAAGAATGACTAAGCTGCTGTCTGAGGGGTTTGAGCTGGCAGTTTTTGAACCTACATCCACCATTGTTAAAAAATTAAGGTATACAGGCTGATCCCCTCAACTTCAGTACCCATAAATTTCTGGGTGCAAGAAGTTGCATTCCTGAGCTAGTTTTTGGAGCTGGCACACTATTCAATTCATCAGCCTCCATTTTCTAGGCTTTTCTTCTAGTCCTGAAAGAGGCAACACTAATCTCGAAAGGCTGAGCTTCAAATCCCCTCAAAGAAACAGCAGTTCAATACTGCAGTTAATGTAGTTACAACAAAGATCTGTGGCACCACCTGAAATATTAAGTGTCAGTGTCACAGAATTCAGGACACATATCATGCAAGCCCACAGGTAAGAAATCCAGTGACTAACACATGAAGCCTGCAGTCTCAATCAAAAGAACAGTGAGGTCACAGCAGTGTCTGAACAGTACTGTTTCATTCACGCCTCACATGAAGATAATGGCTGTAAACATTGATGTTTATCATGTCACTACTCTAGCAGTCGTCTCCTGAGATAAGTTGCCGCCTGTTCTAAACATGGGACATCAACTACAACATTGTCAACACTATTACCTTACTACTATTGTTCCAGCGGCTAATATGTCTCCAATTCTAATCATCAATGCTATTAGAAATAGTGGGTCCTTAAATTCTGCCAGGTGGCCATGAACTGAGCCCCCAGGCATTCCTGTGCACACATGAGGGATAGGAAACCCAGAGCCTGGTGTCTGGCAGGTTGATTTTGATTCTGGATAGTGATTGTGATTGGGAGACCATTTTGTAGGAAGGATATGTCTCCTTGTCAGCACTTACTACACAACAGAAGAGAGCTCCCTTGTTGAAAGAAGAAGGAAGACAGAGAGGAAGGAGGAAAGAAGGAAGAAGGCAAGATATGGAAATGTTTATAGTCCAGCAAAATGCAATCACTTGGTTCATATAGTCATTAACAGCACCTCTGAATGATACCTGTGCAAGAAGGTTCACCTTTCCATTCTTTTCATGACTCCTCAAAGGCCTCTTCATATTCCACTGCAATGCATTTCATTCCATATTCCTTTAAGTGATCTGGACGCAGCCTCTTGTCCTTGAGAAGCTGACAGCAGAAGAACATAAAATACAGCATTTACAAGTCACAGACAGAAAGAAACCAAATGCCTTTCTACGACAGAAAACCCGTATGTTGTAACATGCAACTACTTTGTTGCTAAAAGTGCCAAAAGTGTACTTACATTTACAATAAAAGGGGACAAAATATGTTAGCAGCACTTCATTCATGTTCCACTGATAGTTGTTTGTAACTGAAGGGTACTGCCTTCTCATGTTAGTAGGAGTAGTTCACAGAGCTTGCCTGCTTAGACCAAATTCTTCTTCACAGCAGCTTCACATAATGGCTAGAGGGGCCCATTTTGGGGTTCCTCTGGCCCTGGGGAAAAATCCACAAAATCCTAAATCAAATATGTTTCTTGAGTGCTGGGCTGATAAGGAAGAGGAAGCCTGGGTAATTACAGTTCAGCTTGGGAGCTGCTGCTGAGGAGAAGGCCAGGCTGACTGACAACAGATAGTCCAAATAAAGAAAAAAAAGAAGCTTGGGCTAGCAGCTATTTCAGCCAGAGCTAGTAGGAGAGTGTCAGGTAGCACGTTGCAGAAGGAACATTTCGTTGTTTGGCAGTAGCCCCAACAAAGTGGGCACTTGGCTTTGTCTGGTAACGTTAGTTAGATGGATGCTCTTTCTGTGTCAGATATATCACTGACATTACTTGGAAATATCCTCAGGAGAAAAGCCTGTGAACTTCTGGTTTTGCCATTGTTGGTAACAGAACTTCTGAGATTCAGGCAATACAGGCTGAATGTTGACCCTCCTGTATTTCTGCAACAGGCAAGGGAAGATCTCATCTTCTTCCCACAATCAACAACACTCCTGTGAAAATCTTGCTGGAGTCAGTTTATTCTGTAAACTTCACGATGATGGAAGTAACAAGAAAATATTACTTTGCCATGCTAGTTAAGATTTATAACACATCTATTTCATCCATATGAGTTCTTACTGAGATTAAATAACAACTTAGGAACTAAATTCCTGATTACTAGCTAAGGAAGAAAAGAGACACACTTAGAAGCCTTGCTGCAGAATTTTTAAGGGGATGTTGTCTTTCAGTGTATGGGCAGAGTCCCCGAGAAGTCTGCCATGAGTATTTCTAGGATTAAATGTCATCCATTTTGAAAAGTAACAAGAACATTATTGACACATGCAACAATAGTCAAAATAGGTCAGTCTATTTAACAACCCAAAATGGTCATTGGTCAAGGGCTAACCTTGGAAAAAGCATATGCTCTCTTTCTTCCACTGTTAAAGAGTTGCAACTTCACTATGAAGCATTAGCCAAGTTTATAATGCTTCTTCTACATAAAAGGCATGTAGTCCATTGTCAGTCTAAGACTTTAAGTAGCTTCTGAACAAAATATTCAAATTAATTGTGAAAATATGAAACTATTTAATCATCTTGCCATTTAAACAGAAAAATATTTTAAGAAGCTGTAGATTTAACTTTACTGAATAAAACATATTCACACTAGCCTTCTCTTGCTCTTGCTCACTGGATAATGGTACATATGCTACCTAAAACTGAACTTGTGGTTGCTGTGAGAAAAGAAACAAAAGATAATCCTAAATGTTTCAACAGGATTTTGCTGTGGAATGTCATATTCAAGGCAAGCCTCACACCTTAGAAAAAGAGGTGTTGAGTACATTTGCTTCTCTATACCTTTGCACTTGAGACCACAGCAGAAGCGACAGAAGAGTGACCACAGTAACAACACACAGATAAAACCCCAAAACTTGCATTTTTAATCATAATTTTGCCCTTTAACGAATTTAGAAAGGAAACAAAACTGAATCTAACATGAAAATTTTTATTTCCATTTAAAATTTGAAACATTACAAATTATTTTCTTTCTGATTTATGGCATCTAGAAATGCAAATCAGCAGAACAGCATCTACAGTATTAAAAAATGAGGAAAATATTTCAATTTCATAGGTACTGAAGACATGTATTGGCACCAAGGACAACAGAGTTTGCATTCAAATAAAAAAAATAAATATTTTATAATAAACAAGTTTTTAATATATCCTACTTTAGCTTTCTTTTTCTTGAAACTTACACCAACACAAGTGAATGTAAGGGATTTTCTTGGGGACAGCTAGAATTGCCAAGATGATCAATTAAAATCTTAATGACTATCTACTGCTTATATCCAAATACATCAGTTAAATCAATATCATATACTGGCATTCAGGTATTTCATGGCATGTTAGTGGAACACATAAAAAATTGGACCAGAAGCATCCAGCTGCTCAAGCAAATAAGCCCTGGTCTTATACTGCCTCTGGGAAAATGAATGCTGTCATGTCCATCTTGGACAGAACAAGGTCTAGAACGTCTATCCTACTTGCAGATATAAAGCAGATGTTTACCCATATTAATTATGGGTACATAATTACCCCTAATAATGGACCCATTATTAATACCCACATTAAATTTAGAACCCAATTTTCTGCATTTATTTTCTAGTATCAAATGGTTCTGAAGCTGCTACAAAATCTAAGGCTCTAAGTCAATTGAAGTTATTTAGAGAGCTAAAATTGAAAATGTGGTAACTTATCTTTTATATGGGAGGGGAGGAAGGGAAATTATTTATATATGCAAGACCAAAAGTATGAGAGCTGCACAACCTTTGTATGTGTTTCCATCACCATGTAATCACAGAAACATAGAATTATAGAAGGTCCCAGACGACTGAAAGGTGGCTAACATCCCAATTTTCAAGAAGGGCAAGAGGAATAACCCTGGTAACTACCCACCTGTCAGTCTCACCTCAGTACCTGGCAAAATTTTGAGATTATTCTGTGAGTTGTTGAAAAATACCTGAAGGACATCACACTCATCATTCACAGCCAGCATGGGTTCATGAGGGGAAAAGTCCTACCCATTAATGACAAGATTCTCCACCTCATCGATCAAGGGAAGACAGTTAATGTAATCATCTTTTTGGATTTCAGTAGTCATCAGTGCTGTTTTTCACAGCGTCTTGAGCAAAATGTCCAGCACTTAGCTGGATAAACACATCATCATAAACACAGCAACTGGCTCACGGGTTGGGCACAATGGGTGACAATGAATGGGGTGACATTAGGCTGGTGATCTGTCATTAGTGGGGTTCCACAGGCTCCATTCCAGACCCAGCACTCTTCAATGTCTTCATAGATGATTTAGATGCAGGATTTGAAGGCATACTAAGCAGGTTTGTCAATTATAACTATCTTGAGAGGTGTTGTGGATCGACCTGGGCCAGATGCCAGGCACCAATGAAAGCCGTTCATTAACTTCCCTCTGAAGCTGGATACAGGAGAGAAAATATAAAATAGTTCATGGGTTGAGATAAGGACCAGGAGAGACACCTCATCAAATACCATTGTGGGCAAAACAGGTTCAACTTAGGGATATTAAGTGAATTTATTACTTAAAAAAAAAAAAAAAAAAAAAAATCAGAGCAGGATAATGAGAAGTGAAATAAGCCCTTAAAACCACCTTCCCCCCACCTCTGCCTCCTTCTCAGCTCTATCTCCTACCCCAGTGGTGCAAGAAGACATGGAATGGGGGTTATGATTAGTTCATCTCCTGCTTAGGAAGAGGAGCGTTCCACTGATGCATCATGGGGTCTCTCCAATGAGACAGTTCTCTATGAACTTCTCTGACGTGGCTCCATCTCACAAGCAACAGCTCCCTGCGAACTGCTGCAATGTGAGTCCATGCCACAGGCAGGTGTCTTTCCAAAACTGCTGCAGCATGGGTCACTCTTCCATGGGCTGAAGTCCCTCAAGGACAGGCTGTTCCAGCATAGAAGCAGGGCCCCTCTCTCCAAAGATCTCCCACAGGATCACAGCCTTCTCCCAGACATCCACCAGCTTTGGTGGGCAGTCTTCCACAGGCTGCAGGTGGATCTCTACATCCCCATGGACCTCCATGGACTACAGGGGCACAGCTGCTTCACCATGGTCTTCACCACAGCTGGCAGATGAATCTCAGCTCCAGCACCTGGTGCACCTCCTCCCTCTCCTTTCCTTCTCCACTGACCTTATGGTCTGCATAGTTGCTGTTCACACATGTTCTCACCCTGCTCGCCTCTGGCTGGAATTAAAACTGTGCAAAAACTTTTTGTTTATCTTCCTTCTTAAATGTGTTATCACAGAGGCATTACCACCATTTTTAACTGGCCAAGGCTTGACCAGCAGCATGTTTATCTTTGTGGACACCAGGTATTGGCTCTGCTAAACATGATGGAAACTTCTAGCACCTTCTCACAGGAACCATCCCGGTAGCACCCCCTCTTACCAAAACCAATGCAAAGTCAATACAAGAGGAAAGAAACTGCAAGTGTCTTGTTCAGACAAGATGGACAGGCAGTATAATGATCTTGAAAGAAATGGCAAATCTGCAATAGAACAAAGCTCTTTTTACCATTCACTGTAGCTTCATTGCAATAGGCTTAAAATGACTAGAAACAAGATCTAGATTTCCTATCAGGAAAGGCAAAATTAAAGATCCGATAGAATGGACAGTTAAACTTTGAATTAAATTTCACCATCTATCTGAGCAATCTTCTTACTGGAAGTGTACAACTAACTTCCAGAAACATCACAAAAATGCTGATGTATATATGTCTGCTTTGATTCAGCAGGTTTAATTTGTAAAACTTTGTTATCTGTGTAAAACTGCATTTTCTGATCAGCAAGATGAGAGGCCTTTGGACTCTATCAGAGCACAGAATAAAAATGACTGTACTTGGTCTGAATCGAAATCCACACAGTCACAAATCTCTTTTTGGACAATGCCCAAGGCAGGTAAAAGGAGTAATATCAGCGCAAACATATTCCCTGTGCAATCTCCCAAGGTTCAAAATGTGGCATATAGACCTTTCAATAATGTAATCTCTAGAAGAAGTTTCATTAAGATTCCTCATAAATGCCATTTACCTTACCTACAGGCTTTTGGATAGATTTATTTTTTTTTTAGGAAAACCTCTGGAATAATTAAGAATTTCTTACTTAAAAAATGAGTACTTCTTTATACAACGCATGATCCAGTCAGCTGTTGAACAGACACTGACTTTTCTTTAAAATGTGAACAATTAAATGCTTAAGTGAGAACGTATACTGTTCCATCCTCTGTCTTTATGGACCAAGTTTTCTGAAGCTAATATGAATGAATGTTTGTTTCTATTAAACAGGATGAAGCTTAGGAAAGAAAACTGATAAACAAACTGCCCATTACCTAGATTGATACAAACAGGTATCAAAAGGAACTCTGGCACAACTTTTGAACTCAGACTATGTCATACATCCAACATGAATTCCACTGGATTCAACCTCATTCCCCATCCCATCTGCCCTTTCACTGGTCAGCAGAGACATTAGCATCTCCCACCCTGCTGCCCCTCTTGCCTGCTGCCTTCTCTTCTCCAAGCTGAAGAAAGCTGCAGTTCCCTGTCCTTCTCATATTGTGGTGCTCAAAACAGAGCAGAGTGGGACAAGCCCCTCCCTTGCCCAGATGCATGCCAGGACAGCTGGCCCATTGGCTGCCAGGGTGCTGCTGACTCCTATTCAACTTCCCATTAACTCAAATCCCCAGATATTTTCCGCAGGGCTGGTCTTCAGCCTCTTGTCCCCCAGTTTGTATGTATTATTATCTCATTTCAGTTGGAGAATCCAACACTTGCTCTTTATTAAATTTCATACGTCTGGTGGTTATCCTGCTCTATAGTCTAATCAGATCTGTAAGGTCTCTCTGCCCTTGAGGGAGTTAACAGCTCCTCCTAGATTAGTTGCGACAGCAAACTTACTTACTGTGCATTTGATTCATATGTCCACATCACTTAGGAAAACATTATATATTGCATTTTATGCAATGCATACTGCCATAAGCATTGAAAAGGCCTATGTAAAAACATAAGCTCATACTTTCCCAGCTGAAGAAAGCAGGAAATTATACACAAAAGATTTCATTATTTAAGAACCTTCTTTGTATCTTGTAGTAAAATCTTAAACTTATCCATACATCCTGTTAATACCTTGAAGAAATCTTGTTTTATCATTTCTTAAAATAAAAATGTTTCAAGCTAGAGTGCAAGCCACTTGGAAATGATGAGTAATTGTGGACAAAGAAAAATCACACAAAAATCTCATCAGAGGACACCACTCCAGAGTGTTGGATCAATTCTGCAGAGGTGTAACAGTTAACAGTTTGGAATACCATCATCAGTAGTACCATGAAACAAGACACCTGCAGCAAACAGAAGTCTATTCTGAAACTGTGAAGCAGTCCAATCATACTGGGTCTTTTGAGACTGAAGTTTTTCAGTTGGCTTACGTATTAAAAGGATTGTTCCTGGCTCTTATTGGTCAACACAAAAAATAAAAATGCTTTCTGCCTCTTCAGTCACATAGATTTCTTGTGCTCGGACTCATTCATGGTACCATAGGGTGCCTTCTCCATTGCACTGAACTAATATATTCAGACTTGATTGGTAACTACATATTCTTGTACAAGCTGTGCCTCCAATTACAGTAGTGAAGGAAAAAAGTCACAAAGCCCTAACAAACACTAATAGATCTACTATGATTGTTTTAATACTTTAAAAATTGTAAAAGTATCTTTAAACATTATTCTTTTTTCAATCTTACAAGATTTTTCTTCACATTCCATTTTCTGTCTTCAAAAATTCAAGTTATAGAAATCTTGCCTCTCTCCCAGTTTATTTTTCATTAAACTTAGATTATCACCTATCTTCAAGGAGTTTTACATCAGCAGATCAGCTCACATTCTTTATTGGCCTATTAATATTTTAATTCAAATGGGGATAAAATTTTCCATACACAGCTACTCAGATACACATTTAACAATTATTTGTCTTAATCTTTTTAATCTTGTTTTTTAAAGTGATAAATAAGCTTGAAACAAACTTCAGTTCTGTTTATGCACAGGTCAGTTACTGGCCTCTGTAGTGGCATATTCTTTCCCAAATTTTTTAAAGTATGTTAGAACAGCTCTAAGAACAGCTTTCAACAAGTAGTTAGAAACGGTACTGATGGTGTTGCACCTATCAACAGCGGTTGTACATAACTCACAGCTGCAATTTCCAGTTGTTAAGACCAAGACATACAAAACCATGATTATTTTCTAACTAGTGTCTGCAAATGCAATGAGAACCAATTCAGCTTCTTAAATTAGATACAAGCTGAGTACGGCCAAGGAAGTTTGCTCTATCAACCACATGGTATTGAACATATCAGAAATCAAAACTGTTCAAAAACTTATTACCAGTTGTATGATTGCTTTACAGATGGTTTTCCTGTAAACAGAGCCTCATAATTTTGGAGGCATGGATGAAAGAAGCCTATATAAAATTTTTGAGACAATTTGTGATTTTTTTTTTTCCACCAGAAAATTTGCTTGAAACATAAACAATCTGTTCAATTTCGTTTTTTCTGCAGGAAAACATGAAGGTTTACCTGCAGCATATACAAGAGCTTAAAGATTGATTGCATTTCCAGCAATTTTAACTTGCTTAAACAGTTCAAATATCTGTCCATAACAACACCTCCAAAGGGTGGCTCAAAGCCTAGAAAGATTCTACCGGTTTGAATTCTACGAAGTCAGGAAGACAGTCTATACTTCTGAAATATTTCAATTATGCTTATTTTAACACTGATGGTACCCTTTTTATATGGAAACAGCATAATTTGCCTTCTATCATTTACTGTTCTTTCACCTGCAGTCTACAACCCAGTTATTCTTTACTATGTCTCCAGATTTGTCAACTAAGCAGTTCCAAGAATTAGTGCTGTGTTTCCATTTCAGTTTTATCTTTACATATAAGCAGAAGAAGTTAGGTACAACAGGAAGCAAAATAAAGACTTGCATTTATTGTAAATACAATCTATTTCCCAACCGTATGTGGCACATGGGCAGCTGCAGGTGAAAATTACCTTGGGAGGCTGATCTGACCTCATCTGAGCTGTTACTAGAGCACTTAAGGTTTCAATATAACAAAATATTCTACTTTTATAACAATATATTCTACTTTACTTCAGCTGGTAGAAGTAAAGAAAATCTATAGCAGACTCCCTCCTCCACTATCACTGTAAAAATGACGTCAAAGAAGAGTACTCCAATTTTGTTCAAACACCAAGAGGGTGAAGAATCAAGAAAAAATATTCCTATTTCTTTGTAGCCCGTAACTTAGGTACTTTGAGAATACATAGTCACCACCACCAATACTGCTGTAGCAAGCTTATGCCTTGAAATATACAGATATATGGAATTAGAAAAAAAGTTACACATTAATTCTAAAAATTACAGATTAATTCTAAATGTTCAATTCTAAGAATTTGAGCATTTTGTCTACATTATCAAGATTGTAGTGGAAACTGCAATACATTAAAAAAAAATATCTTCCAGGTCTTAAAAACCGTTCTAATAATTTTTATGGTACTAGCCAGAAACTAAACTTAACTACTGTATGTCAACTACATTAATGAAAGAGCTACCACACATTTCAGTAACAGCTGTTTCTCATGTCAATGTTTCATTTCAGAATTACAGAATATTTAGAATTTTCACAGAGGCTTACCTCTACTTCACTACAGATCTGAATTCTGACATCACACAGCAACACCCTAAAGTCACTGAGCCACGTCTGTTCACACAAGTGGAAGAGAGACCTCACAAAAAATTAACTCAACAGTTGCAATCAGGAGTCTCAATAGGAAGATGTTGCAATACCAAGCTTTACATAGTTATATTAATATTCCAAGTATCCTTAAAATATATAGTGTTGGAGTATCACACTAAGTGCTAGGAGCACTGTAAACTCATTTTATTTTTTTCACTGAAGTTTGCATGAATGTTCATTCAGTTTTTTAAATTCTCAACACAGAAGGCAGTGGTTTAGCTTTTTATTGGTAAACAATAAATCACCTCCTCAATTAAAATCATGTTCTAACAATTCTGATAAGTCCACAGTGACTTTATTTACTTACAATTTAATACTAGAAGAAAAAATTAACATTCCAGGTTACTGTAGGAAAAAAGTGTATACCACACTTAATGGCATACAAGACTTGTAACAAGCAAAAAATACCCTGTTTTACAAGTAATCTCCCTTTCAAATAGGTTTTTTATCTTAGTGCAGTTAGTACTCTCTCTCCATAGGCTATACATTGAGAATCTCTATATACAAAAAGATACAACTAATTGATACATTACTTATTGCAAGATATTAAGGATGCCACAAAATACACAAATTAAATTAGCTCCCCCCCACTTGCATACCCTCTTGCTTCTTATTTCTCTCATGAAGCAGTCTCCTTCTCTGGTTCTAAGATTAAGTTCTTTCATTGAAAGGCACGTACTTCTCTACAATAGAAGAAACAGATGCATTAATCTGAAATGCCCTGTTTCAAGGTGAATTTAGCCTACATTTTTCAAGATGACACATTATTAAAGAACCCAGAGAGACATGACATTTTATTATTATATTTGACTGGAAAAACTCATAGTTACCATATTACTGTGAAGCAAAGTACCATAAACGTGCATTCATTTAACCTTTCCAAATAGAGAGACAACTCATTTACAAAAATAAAAAGGGATTTACCATGATGAATATATTTTTGAACTTTCAAGGCTCCTGAGTTCCGACTGAAACTCTGGCAAGTCTTGGTAGCATTTGAACTATGGAACACTATAAATAAATTGAGTAAATTTCTCTCCTTGTGCCTTGCAGCACTGAGCAAGTAACTTCTATGTGAAGTCACTCAATGAGGATTTTAAACCAGTAGTGTGACATAATTTTGAAAAACAAAGATGTGATAATAACTGTTCCTCAGTTAGCATGTATGTAAAGTTTTGCGAGTGACCAAAGACTAGAATTTTATGCTCGGGCATTTAATAGTAAGCTGTTGAGCAAAATGGCTAAAATCTACTGGTTTGATAAACTGTCCCAAACAGCAGCAGCACAGAGACTGGTAACATGGATGATGATGACAGTGAGAGTACACTTAAATTTTGTCTATGTTACAGCTGAGGGCACTGGGGACCTTTTTTCATGTAGCTCTGAAACAAAATAGCAACCCTTGAAAGCTGTAATGCATCTGGACACCAGTATACTACCACTATCATGATTTTTAGGATAGAAGTTAAGTTTCTCTGCCTAATCCTACAAAGGGTCTAATACAGTTAACAGCTAACCCAAAATAAGCCTATAGGGATTTCTAATATAGGCATACTATCCTGTAGAGTATCACCTTAAAAAAAACTTGATATTTTCAAGGAAGAAAAATGAAAGCAGACTGGGTGCTACTAAAGTCTTTTAACAGATCACAAAGAAAATAGGAAAAAAGACGTATTTTTATATATATAACAATACTTTTATATATATACCACAACTTAATTACTTTGAGGTCAATAACAAATATAAGATGGAGATAAGAATTTCCTGTAACTGCATTGTTTTTTAGTGCATTCTGTTATACATTGTCACAGAAAGAAGCTTAAGCACTAAATAAGCTCAATTGTTGATCTAAGTTAAGTAAAACTGCAACTGTTCTTTACTTAACAAAGCACTAAACTCAAAAAGCTTAGTTTACTAAAAGCCTCTCTTCCTTGTTCCCAGGTTCCAGGCCTGACTATATATTTAAGGTACCTCAAAAAAAACCTAATCAATCATACCTCTGAATTACTATAAATGTCACAACAAAGTGTAATGACATCTCCCAAGAGTATGTGAGCATCATTTTCATGATGTTGTCCTCAGCATCAAGCTGTCTTTGCTTACTCGGGCATTTTGTATTCCCTTTGGTCACTGTGCTTAAGCAGTAACATGAAGACTGATTACTAAGCTCCAGTGCAGATGCAAACAAGTTGAAACAAGGGATAATAAATTAACTTTTAAAAGTACATTCCCAATCAAGATTAAAAAAAAAAAATTCAAGTACTCTAGTTTTCAAACTATCCTCCCAGCAATGATGTATTTTTGCAAAGTCTTAACACCATTTTACCAAGCTGCTCTACAGAGATTTTTGGAGTAAATTCACATTGTTCAGCACTGCTTTCATCCTACACATGAACACTATTTCAAACAATATGTGAATCTTAAAATTTTAAGAGCTTCTCCCCATAAAAGAGAACACAGGAAGATATCAATATACAAAACCAAAGAAAATACACCATCTTCACTAAGTCTAATTGAAGTCCTTGTTTTCCTGAGTTCCCAGTATCAAAACAAGGACTTCAATAATTTAGGCACATACTTTCAGAGGACTATGGAAACAACAGTTTAGATACTTCTACTGTGAAATACTTCAACAAATTATTCTTCTCCCTCAAAATGATATATTTAGGAAACAGGAAGGCAGAAAAATCAGAAATAGTCTGATTGTGAGAACAAAATTACTGTTTGTTAATGATGTTAATGATGACTACCTATATTATCATTTTACTTCCTACTAAAAAACATAGTTGATATTCCTGTAAATAAGCATTTGTAAAGAGTGTCATGTTAATTTGTCATCAAATACCTCACTGTCAACAAGTATGCTGAATTACACCAGAAGCTAAAAGATTTAAGGAAGACATTGAGAGAATTCCTGGATATAATGTGACAATTACCTATTATATTTTACATATGTATATATATATGTAGATATATATGTGTACTGGAACCAGACTAGTAACATGGGGTAATGGTAAATGCCACATAATTCTAAAATCCAGAGGAAGTTGAGATAGTCTAGCTATTTTAATTTTAGTGTATGGGGGAGAAAAAAATCAAGAGAGGCTCTGACTTACAAAAAAAAAATTAAATCAGAAATATTCCCATTAGCGAGAGAAAGTTAAAGCAGATTGACCATTTCTCTTCAAGTGCCAGAACTGCATCCAAAGTTCCTTCTGATAAACTGTAGAACACCTGAGTTATTACTCTAATACTTTTAATTGGTGACATCATGTATTGCATTTATCAAACTGTTTTGCTTGAGATTTGAATCTGATTTCACATTAACCAGTGTGAATCAATTACTTGCTGTGACCGGAAGAATTCATCTGATCTCTTCTGATACTTGACAGTAGTCAAGCAGCTCTTACTATGAACCATGACTATGATAATCCCATCAATTTTTTTTTTACTCTATCTTCATGTGCAATGTGATGGCATTACTCAATAAGGAAGGAAAAAATTTAACTGTGAATAACATAAATTTAAATTTTAATTGATCACGTGTAAGGATACTAAAGAAACAGAACAAAAGTTCAAACAAAATTTGGTTTTGGAAGTTCAAACAAAGTACAACAAAATTTTCCTGTATCTACAAAGTTTCTGAGAATAGCTTAAGAATATTAATATTTCAGTGCAGCAATATCAAATGTAAAACCTGGTGCAGGATCATCATCAACTAACTGCTGACTACTTTAGCAATAAGAAAGCAGAATGAAGCAAAGCTGCCTGAAGCAGAACTCATAGGTGAGAATACATAAGAAAAGCTGAAGAGCCTATAAATTAGGAAAAAAAAAGAGAAAGGTAAGAGCTAGCTGTTGACTTAACATTAGCTTCAATGACACCGTATTTGTAACAAAAATATCCTACCTTCCTCTCCATTTCTCTGGAACTCACATGTTGAAGGCAAATGGTGTTTATCTTCTTGCCCACTAAATTCTTGCCCATTTAAAATTCAAGTGATCTTGACATCCCTTCTCCAACTATGCATATGAAACACAGTAGTGAGCTTTCTCAGAGAAACTGCTTATCACCCACACTCCTTCACTTCTATGGCTAGAAGTATATTCAGGTTCAAAATACAAACCTTCGAGGATGGCTGGCATCGAATAGTGTTGTATCATCATCATCATCATCTTGTTCTAACGGGGTCAGCTCCATGTTTTCTATATTCGCATCCAAAACTCCGTATCTTCGGGTTTTTCTATTTTGCCTTCTGAGCCTAAAAAATATTTTAAAACATTTAAGTAATGTAAATATTTTGCTACTTTCTGATCCAATAATGTAAAATACTGCAATATTGATACTTAGTGTAAGTTTTCTAATATCTATGGTAAGTGTACACACTTAGCTCTATGAAATTCAGAGGTCAGACAATTCTAAGTGTCAACAGTTTACATGAAATGATTAAGGCCACTAAGAGTGCCATCTGTAGTTTTGTATAGTATTAATGAAGTGAACACAAAAATGGCACTTAACATCTAAAGGTAAGAGCCACATAAAAAAGACAGGCAAAAGCATACTTCTAACATATTTCTACTGAGAAAAAAATTGCCTTGCTACATATTCTCTATGTGTCTTATGCATCTGAAAAGAACGGCAGATCAAATCAGGTAGAAACCAAACACAGCTAGAGCAAAACCATAACTTGTAACACAAGTTATGGCTGACACTAGAAATTTTTATTATAATTTGTGAAATCTTTTACAGATACCAAGTTAAAAAAACTGTCTATAATTACACTTTAGAATAAGTGTAATTATAGATGTAGAGTCAATGGCTTGTCTGCTTCACAAAGCACAGAAGGAAGAGGCAGTAACTCATATTTCAGGATTAAGGCACAGTACTTATCACAGACAAGCAGACTGTCTGCATCTGCTTTTCTTATTCTCCACAGCTTGGCTGCATGGGCCTGGGTCCCATGTGCATCATGTGCACACAATGAACCATGTGCACACGATGAACCATTCAGTTTGGTTTTCCAGAACTACTCCTTAACACATGGAACAAGCTTTGCTCAAGTTCCAGAACTCAGACCAGTAGCCACTCACCAAACACTGTGCAAAGGCAGTTGTTTACAGAATCACTTTCAGCAACTGGCTAACAACTACATGAAAGCTACAGGACTTAAAAAAAAAGAATTTCTGTCTGGGTACTTAGTGCTAAACGCAAAGGTGGTAACAGGTCTTTCATTTAGAAACTCCAGAATTTACAATCCCAAGCTAAGTGCCTACAAAACATGTTTACAACATTCAGGAACTTCAACACAGAGGATTTCTGAGCTAATATTAAAAAAAATTATTAATATATTGCAATATTATAGTACTGCTATCATATTACTTACAATACATTATACTATCGTATACTGTGCATAGTGACTTCTCTGTCCCACATTTAGGCACCACTTAAATATCTTGTAAGAGATTCCAAATACAATACTGAGATTGTCAGCTTCAAATCCTGTCCTGAAACTCTAGTGTACTTATACAATCTGTTTAAATACCCTTCTTGAAAGAACCCACAACAGCATTCAATCTTGGTTTATCTCTTCACTATACTCCAATGTATAAAATGTATTTCCTTTTGGGACTGAGAAATAAATAGAACCTTGTAAGAATGGGAAAGAGATAAAGTACATACCGTTCTTCAAAGTTCTCAAATTTCCAACGTTATAAGAAATAATCAACATGGTAATTTCCTCCATTCTAAATTATGACATGAAAATGCAGCAACTGTTATCCCAGGCATCTAAGTGCTTTAGACCAGAAAAAATTACCCAGGTTTTTCATTAAAGCTAAGGCTGGTACCAAAACCAAAAATGTCACCTTTCAGTTCAAGACAAAGTCCCTTCCATGTTCTTAATTTATTTCATCTGTTCTTTATTTGTCAACATGGAAATAAGTTGTACACTTCAAAGCAGCAAGTAGAATGAAATTCTAAAACTTTTTTAAGATTACAGTATAGTGAAAGATAGGGTTGTTTTTTACATATTATGCCTTTTGGTTTTCACTAAAGTAGAAGCTAAGCAACTGGGACTAGGACAAGCATTGTGGATATCCCAGCAGATAAGAAACTACTTTAAACACATAAAAAAAAAGAAATTAAGAAGAGGCAGTACATGCTACTCATGTAGTCAATATTTCATTCAATCTCACTTTACATTTTACCTTTTTCCCTTAATGGGTAAAAATGGAAAGTGAGTAGCTACTGTGATTTGAGAGTAACCTAAAACAGTCATAGCAAATGTCTAGATTGTAGAAAATGAAAATAAAACTTATCACAAAGCTGGCAGAGATTTTAGATTCAGGCAAATCCTGTTGAAAAAAGACACACTAATCACTTGCGACTCAAACTCTTCTCTATCTAAGAAGCAGTTAAAAAACTACAGCTACAGGAATACTGGAGATGCTTATGCAACATGCATGTATGATCACAGACATGACTCTAAAACAGTGTCCTGAGTGTTAACAAAAATAACTTAAGATCTTTTACTCTGTGACTGACAACTGCTCAGTTGGAAGGGACCTACAACTACTATCAAGTCAACTGCCTGATCAATCCAAAATTTAAAGGATGGTACCATGGGTATTGTCCAAATGCCTCTTAAAAACACTGATCCCATTTCTAAGAAGCCCATTCCAGTCATTGACCACCCTACCAGTAAAAAAAATGCTTCCCAATGTTCAATTTATACCTCTCTTGGTGCAACTTAGAATCATTCCCATGCATCCTTTAGCTAGATCTCAGCAAGAAGGGATAAGCATCTCCTTCCTCAGGGACCAATGGGACCTCAGGGAGCAATGAGATCACCCCTCAGGCAGTCCTCATCTTCTCCAAAGTAGACAAACTCAGTCCTCAGCCACTCCTCAGAGGACAGGCCTTCCAGCTCCTTCTCCAGCTTGGTTCCCCAGTCTGGTTGTATTCATGTGCCTTAGTACGCTTCTCACTGCACACAGTTACTCACAAGAAGGCCATGACAATGCTGAATACAGTTGGACAATCTCCTCTTTTGACTGTTTGGCTGTCTGAGATGCACCCAAGGGTGTAGGTGCCCTCTTGGCTGCCAGGGCACACGTGGGATCATACTGAGCTTGCTGTCAACCAGCACCCTGAGATCTCTCTCTGCATGGCTGCTCTGCAGTCACTTCTCTCCCAAGTAAAACTAGTGTCCTGTTCCAGCTGCAGAGCCCCGCATTTGTTCTTGTTATGTGTCCTGCCACTGGTGATTGCCCAATGCACCAATACAGATCCCTTGCAAGGCTTCTTGCACTTTGAGAGAGCCAACTGCACCTCCCAGTTTGGTGTCATCAGCAAAATTGCTAATGGCCCATTCAACTCCAGTCTCCAGAGAAGAGTATTGAGCAAAGCTGGCCCCTAGAACTGAGCCCTGAGGAGCAACACTGGTGACTGGGCACCAGCCTGATGCAACCCTCCTTACTAAAACCCTATGAGCCCTGTCATTTAGCTGTCTCTTTTACCAGTGCACCACTAATTTGCTCACCCTACAGCTGCAGAGCTTGTCCAGGAGGCTACTGTGAAGAAAAGCATCAAAAGCCTTATAAAACCCAGAAACACTACAGTCATTTTTTCCCCCTTCATCCACTGGGCAGGCAACTTGTCAGAAAGTTTGAAAAAAGTTTTTATGTCTTCATGCCAAGGAAACCTATCCAAAAAATGGGTCATTTGCACTTAATCCTCATATTTAGTATATAACTGCAAGAACATTTCAGCTACAAGTTTGAATTCAAAAACATACACTTTACCTATTTCAAAATTCAGAAGCAAGATGCCACAGAATTGCAGAATAATGTGAGGTATAAAGCTTCCAGCCTACAGTACGACCTAGAAGTTGCAAATGAATTTGCACTCCAGTTGCAAATGCAGAACAGCATCCTACTAACAAAACCAGAATATCAAGTAATTACCATTCATCCAGAAAATAATAGTAATAGATGATTATTTTCTTCTCCAGCTCCTGCAATGACAGCTTTATTTATTTATTTGGCCTTTCCACAGTACTACTCACATCTCTAAATCCAACAGGCTGGTGTTACAAGACATACTAACACTGAGAAATGCCCTCAAGGCTTCTCAAGAGTGATTTGCAAGATGTACAGAACAATAAAAATATCCTAGTTTACTTGGACTGTATATCTTAGTACATGACAAACACAAAACAGTCCTTCAACTGCCTTTCTAAACTAAATGATGCAGATATTAGACAAAATGGGTATATCTAAATGTAATGAAAAGTACACGCAGAAATTGCTCCATAATTGAGGTGTTTTATGCATAATCATACATTTGGGCCTTGCTCTGAAGAATTCAAGTTATTAAAGCGTGAGAAAGAGAAGTAAAACTACCAGGACAAAAAAATACCGTGACAAACACTGTACTTAACCGCAAAAGCACATCGAGCTATGTGGAGAATAGTTTCCATGAGAAACAGAAAGGCAGCTAAGTGGTAGCAAGCTTTTCAAGGGCCCTTTTCTTAAAAAGACACAAAATGGGTTAATTTTACTGTAAAAAAGGCATACAAGAAATACGTTTACTGACGAAGTCGGGGAGGACAACTTCGGTAGTTTAGCGATATAGAAGTTTGCCAACTGGTCAAAAATCACTCTAAGAACACACAAAATAAATTTAGGTGGGCTGACGGATGCCAGCAGTGACAAATCCACCCGAATGGCACAGGAGGGAGCTGAGAAAAGGCCTGCACCGATCTGCGATTCTGGGTGACGCGAGCGCAGCAGACGGAGCTGCTCCTCGCCGGCGCCGGGAGGCGGCACCGGGAGGCGGCACCGGGAGGCGGCACCGGGAGGCGGCACCGGGAGGCGGCACCGGGAGGCGGCACCCGGACGCTGCCCGCCGCCCCTCCGGCGGCGCGGGGCCGAGAGCGTCAAGCCCCGCCGCGCCCGCACGCCCGCTCCCCGCCCTCACCGCACAGTCCGGATCACGAAGTAGACGATGAGGGCGGCGCTGGCCAGCACCAGCACGGACAGGGCGCGCTGGGTCATGGGCTGGCCCTGCTCGGGCGGCGCCGACACCTCGGCCAGGCGGCTCCTGCTGCTGCTGCTGCTGCTTCGCGTGGCGGCCCCGCCGGCCGCCTCCGTCGGGCGCGGGGAAGCGGTGCTGGCGGCCCGGGGGCGCGGGGCCGCAGCCTCCCCGGGGCGCGGGACCGCAGCCTCCCCGGAGCGGGCGGCTTCCAGCAGCACCAGCAACATCAGCAGCGGCCCCACCGGGAGCCGCGGCAGCGCCGGCGGCCGCATCCCGCCCTGCCTCCCGCCCGGCGCGGCCACGCACTGCGGCCGCCGGAAGCGGAAGCGGCTCCGCCACGCCCGCCGCGCCGCCGCGCCGCTGGCGAGGGCGCCGCTCTTTCCCTGTGAGTGGTCAGCAGCGCTTGGGCGCCAGTGAGCGTCACTTCGAATGTAACAAAATTCAGGCGGGATAGTTTCTTTTTTAACCAGTCCGCTGTCTTAGCCTGATTCTATATTCAAAAGGACAAAAATTTTATAACTGAAAAGTGAAAGCAGAAATGTTAAGGAAACTTCCCAGTGTGACCAATTATGAGACTCCCTGGCAGCCACTTCCCAGTGGCAGAGTTGCCGCTGCTGACATCGAAGCCGCCTTCGCAGCGGCGGCTCCAGTGACCCGATGTGTCCCCGCTTATTTCCCCACACACCCCACTCACACCATCATACCGGGTTTCCCACAGCAGTATGAGGTGTCTTGTTTGTTGACGGTACAGGACCTGGTCCTCCGATGCTACCGAGCTACCTGCAGCAGACGTATTCCTCACCAATAAGCAAAAGGGTGGTTTGGAAAGTAATAGGGCCTGAAAACTCTAATTTTTGCTTCAGCTGTTGTTCAGTGGTTGAAAAACCAGAAAAGGGTTATGTCTAGATGGACCACAGCTGAAAGTGATGGAGCACTCATTGTATTACAAAGCCAGTGAACATGGATGACAGGACCCTGACTTAGGGTGATGCTATACAGTGACTCTCCATAAATTTTATTGCTCTTGTGTCTCATTGTTCCTCAACTAAATGCTGTCCTGTTAGGATAATCCTTCCGTTGTTAGAATCCGTTATAAGACTCTTTTTATTGGCTTGTTTGTTTGGTTGGTTTGTTACTGTATACTTCAGCAAAGATTTCAGGGGTATAGTGTACCTACAGAATGAGAAATCCATATTGGTAATGAGCCATTTGACATTTGTCACTGTGTTGAAGGGAATGAATAAAATGCCAGAGTAGCAAAAAAGCCTTGTACAGATATATATCTGCAGTTGAAGTAACAGGGGCAACAACCAGATTTTGTTCAGAAGGAGACTCATTATCCCAGAGGCCTTAAACTTAGCAGTGTATCAATCATACTGGATCATATAAAATCACATATAGATACTGTAAAAAGAGTGATTAGTTAACTTACTAACAAGTTAATAAGTTTAGGTTTAGCTGTTCATTAACAGAGAAAATAGATTCAAAGTCTTGTGTCACACAATTAGTCTGAATTTGGAAAGTGTAAAACTGATTTGAGTAGCATGTGAGACATTAGACTATCACGTGTCTCCCCCTTGAAAAATTAATGGGCCTTTAATGAGAATAATGTTTCAGATTATACAACAGATTTTGCTGGAGGTGCTGTAAGGATGTAGCATGTGAAGAAGCTTCTGTCATAGCTTTTTACCAGGTTTATGACTTCAGCAGAGCTTGACTGATTCAGGTCCTACCACTGCCAATATGTATCAACCTGCTTCTATCCTATGAATTACCATGATATATATTTTCTCTTGACAAGTCCAAGCAACTTATTTGCAGTACAGGGACATATGAGAGAGGAAAATGTTATATTCAAAAGTCAAGGAAGAATATTTCTTAGAAAGACAGTTACTGATGTTAAATTGTCCTATAGCAGTATCCTTGATGCATAGAGTGTGTAAAGTCTAACAGTGCTGAGTTGCTTGCTTAGCATACTACAATGACATACAGTGTGGTAAACTGCATGTCAGATGCAAAGCTTTAGGGGAAAAGAAAAGAGGATTGCTTTGGTCAGTAAAAACTACAGCAGGACAATATTAGTATTTTAAAACACCCTCTCGGCAAAACTACCATCCTTAAAACCAAGGGTTCTAGTGCTGTGTGGGGAAAGTTGGTTTTTGAAGGTTTTTTTCCCAAATCAGAATCTAGTGCTCTTAATAATCAGCAGATTAAGACAGTCTTTGAGTTTTCAGATAGAAAGCAAAATGCTAGAGTGATTTGTGTTTATTTTGAAGAAAAAAGAGCTATTGAAGTCCTTGAATATTTGTTCGTTTCTTTGGTGTGGGGGAGGAGTGGGGGTTGTTTAAATCATTAAAATGCATGGATTTGTTCAATATTCAAGGCAGGTATAAATACAAAAAAAATTGTATCCAAAAAATTTGAATACAAAAATTTACTTCAAGAGAGCTGCAAGACAATTTTTCCATGAAGTGTTGATGTAACTTCAAACCTGTGTGTGGAAACTGGCAGTAATTTCTAGATTTTTTTAGAATTCCTGACTGTTAGTAATTGATGTCTGATTTATTGGTTAGAGACAAAGTCAGGAAACAATTTAAAAAAACTGTGATGTCCTGTGATCATTATGGTATACAGCAGCTTTTCAAAGATGTGTCTTAGGGTTATATTTCCCCATTCTGAGTTGAAGTGCAGAACCTTTTTTATTTACAAAAAGAATATAGAACTTTCTTGTATTATACCTAAAAGATAAGAATTTGAGTGCCAGTGAAAGACCCTGAGAAAGTTAAATTGCCCATTAAAAATAATAGTGCTTACTTGAGTTTTACCTTTGAGAAAAATAAAAATAGTAATTTTTTTTTTTTTACTTCCATAAAACAGACCTTGCAGATTAATTGGAAGAGCACAGCAATTGTTTTACACAATTATTTGAATGTCAAGAATGTCTGAGAAAGTCTTCTCATCAGAAAATGAAACAGTAATTTGGAGAAAGGCACTTAAGAACTCTGTATACTCTCTGTTTTTCTTGTTTAGCTAGTTGAACTAAAAGGCCATTATCTGGTTCCTGATACTTGTAGTACCAAAGGGCAACACGTCTATTTCCTTTTCCCTCACCACTATCAGTCTGTCTATATCATAGAATATTCTGTGTTACAAAGGGCCTACAAGGATCATTAGGTCCACTTCTTAAGTGAAAGGTCCATAGAAACATCAAACCCACAACCTTGGTATTTGATAATACCACTCTCAATCTCAAGTTGTTTGTTTTCATCCTTTATGAAGTCCTTGTGGAATGACTTTCTGGTGATTTTGAGAATTTAAGACGTACGAGGTGACCACACATTTCTGCTCTGGTAGGAGGTTATCAAGGAGCATGATGCCTGCTTCCCCTGTAAGCTGTATGAAACTCTTAAACCCTGAAACTATCCAGTTTTTTAGGTCTCTAAATCATGTTCTAGTCGCTATTATTTATGCTGTCTGAGGACTTCTCTGTCCAAATGTATCTATACTTCCTCTTGCATAGATCAGAAATCTTTTTGAGTAATCAATTAAAAAACCTCAGTTGAATCTCTTTTCTTTTAATGACTCTTCCCCGATGATATGCAAACTAACTACAGACTGTTGCAAAACATTGCACAATATGCTCTGCAAAGAATTTACAACTATATTTTGTAAACTTTTCTAAGAAAAAGTGATTAATTTTACATTTATATATGATTGGTACTTGACTGCTTTTTAGAATGCAGTTGAGTGCCCTTTTAGATAGGTGCCTTTAAAAATCTAGCTATTTAGGGCTACATAATTTTTATCTGAAATGTCCATTAGTGTCCATTTGAAATGTCCAATTTTGTCCATTAGCTCTGGACAAACTAATTGAGCTATTTTATTTGAAGAAAACTTTGTAAAAAATACAGTATAATTTCTTGAACATAAAAGTGGTATCTACAATGTGAAGGTAAGGAGTATTTTGAAAGCTGAAAAATAATGCCTAAAACCAGGTTTTGAATGGAATTTTGATGCTGCACATAGATGTGCTCCAGAGGAAACATGGAATGGCCCTTCCTATACCTGTGCAGTTACAGAGCCAGTGTCTATTTGCTATTCTATTCTATTCTATTCTATTCTATTCTATTCTATTCTATTCTATTCTATTCTATTCTATTCTATTCTATTCCTTGTCATGGTATTCCTACACTAAATGTTTATCATAATTAAAATAATTGATTATATTTCTGTGTAAAACCCTCTTTGTGACCTCTTGGGGTGTGGGAAAAGGAAAGAAAGCTGCCATAGTTATTTATACTCAAGGGGAGTGTGTTTGCTGTTTTAGGCTTGGAAATTTTCCTCTGGGTTGAAGAGGATAATAACAAAGTCTTTTTGGTCACCATCTATTTCAGTGCCACCAGCACAGAGCTGTTACTATTGTGATGAGCATTTTTCTGGAGACCAGGCTGCAGCCTGGTGTCACGGAGAGCCTGTCAAAACCTCCCACTTCTTACAGACATTTTTTGCGATGGGGACGCCATTAGTGCATTGACTTGAGTATACAAATGGGCAGAGGGTGACCATCGGGATGGTGCTTCTTCTTCTGATTTGACCTTGGAAAGGTTTCCTTTTGCCACATAAAGAGGCTGAAACTTGCAGCTGAGAGACAGAGCTGCAGGTGGCTCCTGTGTGCTGTCGGAATCTGAGGGTATTGGTGATTCTGAGATTGTAGAAAGTCTCTGTCTTTCTGCCCCATTGCCAAAAAAGAAGCCATAATTCGTCTGTGCTGTTTCCAAGGTTGTTTATTCTTGCTTATCTATAACATGTTCTGCTGCCCTGCCGCAGGTCTGTCCTGCAGGGCAGCGTGTGGGGCTCTGCCCTCAGTGGGATGTTACAAACATTATATACCAGAAACTACGTGTACTATATTTACAATAATGTGCCAATATCTATCATCTACGTTGAACAGTGTGTCCCCAGCCTAAACCAATAGAAAAATGCCAACATCACCAAGAACATGGAGGTAAGGAAGAAGAAGGAGGAAGAACAGGATCAGGCCCACTTTCCTCCATCTTAGAACTCCTGACCCCCATGTACAAAGTAAAACCCCCCTGTACAGGTACTAAAACCCCCTTGTACAATACTAAAAAATTTTTCCCTCTAATTTGTGACTACTTTTACTATACCATCTAACTCTCTGTGACCGCTTGTTCCACCTTCAAAGTTGGTAATTCATTCCATGGTTCAAACTCAAGATCACAGCTGTTTTCAGCTGCTTGCCAGGGTCTAAAATGCTTTTGACCAAGGCCTGAAACCTCTGAAAATGTCTGAGGGACATTTTGAGCTCCGACAGTGTGCCTAAGCCGGCATTTTCATCCCAATACATTTGTGCAGGCGTCTTAAAGGGTCTGTGTTGAATATGAGATTCCCAATGTTTGTTTCCTTACCTTGAGGAATACCTGGTGGATTTCCTTTCTTTCTTCCATGTACCACTGTTTTTTAGAAGAGGACAAGAAGCTCAGTGAGTTTTGGTTTATGACCACTGTGCTTAAGGGACCTACAAGCACTGCAGAGATGCCTTTCATGTACTAATCCTTGGAAATAGCAGAGTTAGTGTAGCAGAGCCCATCTTCCGAAAAGCTGGTTTGAATCCTCCAAGAAGGAAACATGATTTGCTGATGTAGTTTCCACTAACTAGGTCAGTCAATGAAATCAGCTGCCAAGGCAAGATCGGCTGAATGTTGGAAAAGCTGTGGCTGCATCGGGCTTTGGATTTTTGGTTAGTAAGGAAAGCCATCTCTGGGTCTCTGCCAGGGTAGAAACTGCCCTGCAGAATGGAACTTAAACACTGGGATTCTGAGAGAGCAGTTACAGATGGGAAAGAAGCAGGTGGAGCCTTGTGTTTCCTTTTCCTGCAGGCTGAACTCCTGATAGCCAGAGGAGAGAGACCACAGCTGTGGCAGCCCAACCGATTCTCACCTTCCCTGCATGACTTCCTGAGCTGCTGCCTGCAGACAGACGAAGAGCAGCGCTGGTCTGCCAAGAGGCTCCTGCAGGTAAAATGCCAAGGGGCTGAGGTGAAACAGTGTGCGAGGGATGGGCTCCTCCTCCACCGAGGTCCGAGGCATCAGATGAGCCCCCTTCCTCCTCACCTCCACTCTTGGTGATGTTCAAATGAAAACAGTGAGGAATCTTAGACTGGGCTGGGCTGGCAGGGCTCTGGAAAGTCCTCTGGTCCAAGTGTCCTGCAATGAGCAGGGACATCTTTAAAGAGATCAGGTTGCTCAGAGCCCTGTCCCGCCTGACCTGGAATGGTTCCAGGGATGGGGGCACCTACAAGCTCTTGGGACAACCTGTGCCAGGGTGGCACCATGCTCTGAGTAAACAAGATCTTCCGTAGACCTACTCTGACTTGATCCCCATTTTGAAAAATATTTGACCACATTCTACTGTAACTGGACCTGATAAAAAAGACGTCCCCCACTTTCTTCAAAGCCACTCTGAAGTCTTGGAAAGCAGCAATAAAGTCTCCCTGGGGCCCGTTCTTAACAAAACTGAATAACTCCACCTCTCTGCATTTCCTGAGAGGACAGGTGCTGGCCCTGCTGGGAAGGAAGGTGCCATCCAGCACAGGAGGGGCAGGGCATGGAAAGGCAGACACTGCTCTGTGTGCCTGTGGAAATTAGGTCTTTCCACGACAGGGACCTATGGGAGTCATTGGAGCTTCTTGAAAGGAAGAAACCCCAGGGACAGAAAGCACCATTTCTAGAGCACTGGCAGGGCAAAAATCCCGGCAAGATGGAGAAACCAGAATAAATGGATGAGTGGGATTCAGGGCCAGGTTTGCCTGTGATGGCAAGGTCCCGCACATGACAATTAAGGAGCAGATGGTCCCGTTACTCCTCTTTCTGGGTCTTTATAGGAACTAGAAGAATCCTGATTGAGTCTGTGAAGCACTGAGCTTGGAAAGTCATGGTTTACTGTTTTTGTTCTTTTCTTTCCTGTGGACAGCATCCATTTGTAACATCAGCTAAGCCAGCATCCACCCTGGCACCACTCATCAACTCAGTGAAGAAGAAGAAGAAGACAAGAATGTAACAATCAACTTATCTCCATAACCAAGTTAGAGTAGGATTGTAGACTAGGACTCTAGAGTAGGATTGTTGAGTAGTTTTGTAGTATAGGTTTATAATAGAGTAGTATTTTAATTAAATAAAATTTCTCAAGCATCAACTCCTTTGGAAGATTCCCCTCCTTCTGACCCCTTCAGAAAATTCAACATTTCCTTCTGAATTGCCAGTTGTCTTTTATTGGTGCTAAGACATGCTTGTGGCTTCTTTGGTATGGTTTGTAAGTGGAGAAGGTTCTTCTTCATTCATCCTCTGCAGACCACACTGCCTTTGGAATATGGCCCACTGGCCCCTTTAGGTACATCCGTGTCACTTTCAGTTGTGAAAAATGCACATATTATGATTGGCTTTTTGCAAATATCACAATGAATATTATATGTGTAATGTTAGAAAGTTATGCTGTATTAATTCTCTTAAGTAGTGTGTTAAATATAGTTTTAGGTTCCAACATAATGTTAAAATAGAAACTAAGTATGTGGGGGGAGTCTTTTTTTTTTTTTTTTAGGAAGGAGATACTCGCTTTGAGGAACACCTAAATCTTCCAAAGAAAAGGAATTTATGGTTTTCTTATCAGAAGAAGCTAATTTCTTCAGGCCTTGCTCAGGCTTGAAGATGTCTTGGGGATTAAAGGAAACAGTTGATATACAACAGACTAGAGTTCTTGTTTTAAATAGAATCTATGCATAACCATGAAGGATATATGACTATGCAACAGGCTACTGCTTTTAAGGTTATTCCTTTGTTGACAAGGCATGCTTTTCATGACTTAATGTCCGAGAGCATCCAGACGTCCATAATTCTTTGCTTTTTATTGTCTTGTAAGTGTCCTAGCTCTAAATTTTACTACTCTAATTGTATTACTATTTTTATAACAATTTTATTATTATTAAACTTTTAAAATTTTAAAAACCAAGTGATTGGCATTTTTCACAATTATGGTAGAAGAGGATGGTTGCAAACACCTCTCTGCTGGTGCCTTAGGAGACTCAGAGTGAAGAGACGTGTCCTGCCCTGGTTAGGCAGCTTCACTCTGTTCCCCTGGTGTTACCGACAGACAGACACAGGTTTTGATCCAGGGACAAAAGGAGACAATAAAACAAAGAAAAGAGAAAGGATTCCCTAAAACCATGGTAATTAGCCCCTAAGATTAACGTGTACACGAAGAACAGAGACCCAAGGACAAAGGATAAGTAAGTATTTGTTGGGATGGGGTGGATAAGGAGGGGATGAATGCATGTGAATGAGAGGTTAGCTGGTTACCCCAGACTTGCCAAGCAATTGCGGAGTCTCCTATGCTGCGTTTCCGTCCTTTTTAGGAGAAAAACGGCCAGTCAAGAGACGAAGCAAGTGAAAATAAAAGAAGTAAAAAGAGAGGGTTTTCCTTAGAAGGGCATAAAATTTGCTGGGTTGAGGGATTAACATTCTAAGAGCACTCAGATTTGCCGGACTGAAGGATATCCAAGAGAATCTGGGGTTACGGTTAGATTGAGGGATATCCAAGAACACCAGAACTGGCCAGTAACACCGAAAAGTGTAATAGGTGTGTTAATATTCTGCAGAATGGAGAGACATCCAGGATTAAACCTGCTGGGTTGATGGATAAAGGTTAGAAACATTCCAAGAGCACTCAGAATAAATGTAGATATGTAGATATGTAATATAGATTGTTTGAAAGTAAAAGGTACCTTGTTGTATGCGAGAGTGAGTAAAAAATAAAAGTGAGTGAGCATGGGCAAATGAAAGTATATATAACAGTATTGTGAAGTCCAGAAGTATGAATGAACAGGCTTGAGGGTGTCAATGTGTGTGAAAGTGAGAGATAAAAGTGAGTAAATATAGATGAATGGAAGTATATGTAATGCAGATTGTTTATTTTGAGCTTTACTTTATTTCCTTGGGGGGAGGTGGATTGTGTTGAATGATATTGTGTTAAATGATATTGTGAGAAAAAGGACTTTTGTGTAGTTGAAAGAAGGTGGTATTCAGGTTGTTAAAGAAAGTGGGAAACAAAGACATAGAATGAATAGTAAGATTTTGGAAAATGGGACAGAAAACGAGTAAAAAAGAAGACAAAGGGAAAGAAAAGGGAGGGGAAAAAGAGGGAAAAAGAAGAAAAGAAAAGGAGTGAGATCCTTCACAAGTTTTGCCCCCTCCGTTCCCGTTCGCGCCCGCACCACTCGCGGCCGAGCCGCTTGTCCCGGGCCCCGGCTCGCTGCGCGCTTCATCTCCGCCTTTCGCGGTCCCGGCGCCTGTCCCAGGTCACAGCGAGCCGCTCGCTTCGGCTCCGCCTGTCCCGGTCCCTGCTCCGCCGCCCGCAGCCTCTGGGCCCGGCCCCGTCCCGCTGCTCGCGGCTGCCCGTCCGGCCCCGGCCCCGTCCCGCCCGACTGCTCCTGCCGGGCTCCAGTCGGTCCCGCCCGTCCCATCCCGAAGCGCTTCTCCCGCAGCTGATTTCTCTGCCCCATCCCCGGCGGCTTTGCCCGTTCCGGCTGCGCTGGGCACCGCCGCTGCTGCTCTGCCTTGGCCGGGAACCGCTGACCCAGCCGCCCTTAACCACGTGCGGGCCGATCGCGCTCCCGGCTGGGACCCCCGGCACTGCCCCACCTGTGGCAGTGCCGGCAGCACACCCTGCCCGTGCTCCGCATTTGCAGGACCAGGGCTCGGCGCTGTGCCCTGCCCTCACCCCTTCCTGCCCGCAGCTCCGTTCCCCGGGAACCGCAGCCCCAGCTCCGAGAAACTCTTTCTGCCTGGAGGATGCCCCTTACAGGAACACAAGAAGTTCAGTTAGAAGGCAACATTCTCCAGACTCTTCCTCACAACATGGGAGAAAGGCTACAGAAGAAGACTGGGATAAAGAAATTGGTATATTTCCACTAAGAGAGGTCCCGATAGGAGGGGGTGGAACTAGGTTTGCAAATGCTCCCTTGACTTCTTCTAAGGTCAAGAATTTTAGAAAGGAAATCAAAGGGATTTTAGAAGATCCCATAGCCACTGCTAAACAATGAGACCAATTTCTAAGTCCAAACATCTATACTTGGGAAGAAATGCAGTCTATAATAAAGATACGGTTTCCTCAAGAAGAAAAGGAATCTATCAGAATTGCAGGCATAAAAGCCTAGGATAAAGAAAATCCACGGCAGCCTCCCGGAGAGGAGAAAATTCCAACTGTACCTCCTGAGTGGGGTCAAAATGATGAGGAGGGGAGAAAACATATGAATAAGTATCATAATTTGATTGTTGGGGTGTTGCAGCATTTTTGAGAGAAAGAGGATATAAGTTATGAGATTTGAGCTACTCCAGTCTAGGCCTCAGATTTGGGCCTTGTGGGCCTTCAAGCCTCTGACGCAGTTAGAAATTCAGAGCTTGTGGCGCAGATAGAAATAGTATTAAGGTGTGACGGGGACCACTGGGCTGTCTGGGTGTGAATTAGTATAGGTTTCATAGTGTAAGGTGTAGGCCGTTTTAAGGAAAAGGTAAACAATGTTAGCCTACCAATCAGAGTGTCTTTGTTTCTGTAAACTATGTAGAAGCTTATATAAACTACCATCTTATCTCGAATAAAGGGAGAACGCTTGATTAACCACATTGGTTCAGATCTGCGTTTGTCTTGTCCAGCTTTCCGTTTTCCTGAGGCTCCCTGGATTTTTGGGGGAAATAGGGGGAGCAGCATCTCGAGGGCAAAGTGCTGAGGGACTTTTAGGGCACAGCAGGGGAGAGGGAAGGCTCCAGTTGAGTGGTTAAACAGACTTAGGAGAAGTAGAAGGCAGTGTTCCAAAGTAGATCCTAAGACTGATGTAAGAAAAGCTTTATTAAAGATTAACTTTCTGTTTAGCCAAATAATGGAAGAAATTGAAGATTGGCATAACAAATTATTAAATGATTTATTAAAGGAGGCTCAGAAAGTCTGTAGCCAAAGCCAAACTAAAAGCAAAGATTGTAGCAGTCACCATGCTAGAAAACAACTACAAGAAAATAATAAAAAACCCACAGGCACTACTCCTAGATATGATAGTGGTAGAGACAGAGGAACAAGAAAAAATAAAATCCCAACGCAATCAAAGTTTCAAGAACATTCTAGGAATGTCTGCTTTTACTGTAAGGGTGAAGGTCATTAAAAGAGAGATTGTCCGAAGAGGGTAAAAGATCTGAAAATTTTTAAAGAGATGGGCACCGAGGAAAAATAGAGATGTCAGAGGCTCTATTTTTTTGGAGGACAAATACCATCTAGAGCCCGTAATAACTTTTAAAGTGAGTCCCCAAGAAGAAGAATTAGAGTTTGTGGTAGACTGTCCTGGTTCAGGGCAAATTTGGGGAAAGAACCCTAAAAGGGTTCCTTTAGGAAAGCAGACTCAATTGGCCCCTCCCCCCAACCAGTTCAGGAAGGATGCCTCTTTGGAAGAAAGTGGAAAAAACCTGTCTATTGAACAAGCAATCTTAAACAATATTAAACAATAAAACTCGCCACTCTAAGAGAGAGACAAACTCAGAAAAAATCCCCCGGGTTGCAGCTGGGCTCACTCAGTCTCTGATCAGTCCCTCTGGCGCTGGAAATGCCACAGCCCAGGCCCGGCCCGCTGGGCCACAGGTGCTGCTGCTGCTGCTCTTCTGGTGTTTAGTCCAGAGCAGGTCCAGAGAAAGGGAAAAAAACCACAGTCCAGTGAACTTCTTTTCCTCAGCTAGCTAAAACTAACTAGAAAAAGCAAAAGGAGAGCTCTCTCTTGCTGTCTGTCCATCCGCAGATGACACAGTCCAGGAGCAGGAATGTGGAGGAGGGAGTGCAGTTCTTGAAAACAAACTCCATGCTTCTTCACCCCCACCTTCACTCCTGGAACAAGTCTTAAAGGTGTAGAACTTATTATTCAACATAAACAGAGCAGACGATTGGGGATAAAGGCATCATACAGTCAGCCTAGGACATAGACACAGGGGCAGAAAGAACCTGTCTGTTAAATATTCCAAAAGGTTATAGTGTAAGCAAAGATACTGTAAAAGTAAAAGGACCAAAAGGAGAGAGTTTCACAGTTCTTGTCATTAAAAATGTAGTAATAAAGGGAAAAACTAGATTTTAGATAGGAGGTGATTTATTGGTCCCAGAGGCAGGT